ATAACATTTCCAACAACAGCTTCCATAGTAAACATTCCAATTAAGCTTGGATACCATTGTGGGTCAAATGAATTTAATTCAATAGCTGCACTTAATATCCATGTATAACTTGGACCGAGTACACCAGAATCTAGTGCACTTTGTAAAATTAAAGTTGCATAGTCTTCTTGAGCCCATAAAAGAACGATTCGTGATGGATTGTTAATTAAAAGAGATTTTAAGTCGCCTCGAATACCAAGTGTTGCAATATCAAACATGATCGTTTCTGTAATTGTTAAATTATAATTATCAAATACATCAGAGATTGCTTGTTCAAAGCCTTCTCCAAATGCATCATTTTGATAGATAACTACACATGATGTCCAGTTAAATCGAATAAATAATTGACCAATAGCTAATGCAGCTGTATCATCTGCAGGAATAGTACGATAAAAAGTAGGATAAGCAGTTCGATCAGATAATGTAGGATCAGTTGAAGAATGTGATATAACAAGAATGCCTATTGATGCAGCAAAAGGAGCGATAACTTGAGATTCTCTTGAAAGATATGGTCCCACAATGCCAACGATGTTTGACTTCGATGTCGTATGACATGTACTTCGAAGACCATGCATAATATCACCATCAGTTGTTACAGATTGCCATCCAATAAATTCTCCGTCAATTGTTATATTGTATTGTTGAGCAAGTACTATTGCTGATTTAAACATTGCAAGAGCATGAGTGTACTCTACTAAAGAATCAGTTCCGTTTGGTGTATTATACAAAAGACTCAATAATTGTATATTTGATGTATTCAAAGAAGGCCAATCTGCTCTTACGTACAAAATGTTAAATTGTCCAAGTATATAATATAACCATAAACATCGAAAACTCCACCAAGATGCCATTTGTTAAGAAATAAAAATCTGAAAATAATAATTAAATCAAATTTATTGGATGATTTTAAATTTCGCATTATTAATAAAAAAAAATGAACTGAAATGAGATTGGTGATGATCTCAAAACATTTAAAATAAAGGTAGAGAGTATTCCTGATCTAAATCTAATTAATGCATGTCGAGGAGCATCTGATATACACAACTGTAAAATAGACGAATTGTTTTTCGTACAAAAGATTAATACATTTTAGAACATTTTCTTGGATGAAAAATAACTTTTATAACAGAAAATTTGAATTTTCTTTTGCACTAACTAAACTCAAGAGGTCCCATTTTTTTAATAATCGGCATTTGCCAACCATCGCTAATTATATCATGTGAAATATAATCAAAAAAGTGTATCTTGCTTTTTTATATGATGACGATGTACATTAATACTATTTATCTATGCGCATTCAGTCATTATGAGATTTTAATTAAAGACATTGCACCTAATTCTCGATCATCGATTACAAATCTCTTATAAGATACTGCCGACTACTAGAAAAATATTCATCAATTCTGATTCTATTTTAAAAACGTTGAAACAGAACTTTTATTTAATTAAATTCTTTATTCTCTACGTTTGTAATATATATTATATGGATTTTAATCACTGTTTATTTTCATAAAATAGTAAAATATATTATAGATTAACACTTTTTTGTATCATTTAATTTAGCTGCGCAACTCGCTACCTATCCTCATTTATCGTTAATAACACATTTATGATAAAGTATGTTCGTATTTTAATAATTTTTTTATGAAGAAAACCGATTTTTATTTATTGAGTACAGCTGAATTTTGGTGAGAGTAATATTTATACAATGTATGTCAAAATTATAGGCCCCCTCCTATTTTACATACATATAAACTAAAATAATATTTGATCAATGTTGTACTAACCAACTTAAATGATTATGACAACAGTTAAGTCGAGCACGACTTTGCATAGGGGTTATTAGAGGTTTCCTTGATGCCATATAAGAAACTGTCAAGTTTTCATGTATGCTCAAGAAGAAAAATACAAAATAAAATAATAGTTTATTTCAACTACGCAAAAGAAAAGAGAACAGTAAAAGAAAGGTAATGAAGATGGATTGATAGATAAACACAGTGTCATGAATCGATATGCGTACATATATATAGTGACGTATTAGAATATTTCATAAAACGAAATGTAATATACTATACAAAAAAAAACGGAAAAATAAAACGAAAATATATATATAATAATTTCAATGACAATGGCACTACATCACGGAAACCATATCAAAATCTCGAAGATCATGACTGACTGATTGTTGAATTCAATTCTGTATAAGCATATTGGACAAGATTGGTCAAAGAAAGTGTGCCGTTTCGAAGTTTAATCAAACTTTTTTGAGAAACAGTTACTTTTGGTGGGCGTTCATCATCAGGTTTCGTAGCCACTGTATGAAATTGATTGAATATCCGAGTAGTCTGATGAATATAACGACGAAAAATATTTAATTCGCGAAAAATTCCATGAGTATATGTGCCATATATATATTCATGTACATGACGGACATATGAATTCAACAAGTAGATATCGTATGAGAATATAATATTAATAGTTTGTATATACAATATAGAGAGGTTAATAATTTTGATATACCACGATTTTATTAAATACTAGCTTTCTGTTTAATTATAATAAGATAATATTAACGGTTGATTATTTATTTGATATTGGTGAGCATTATTCATAACTTCATCCGCTTGTTCAGTATTTGTAAAAGATAAAAATGCGTATCTAAATTATAAATAAAATAAAAAATAAAATATGTTAAATATAAATGTTTACCCAAGTAAAATTTTCTGATTTGTATTTGATTTTTGTACATTTCTTGCTGGAATATATTTAATTTCATTAGAATTAAAAAATAAGTTTCTTAAATCATTTTCAGTAACGTTTTCAGGTATTTTTTTAACCACAATATTCCAATTCTCATTCAATTCATTTTCATTTGGGAGTTGAGAAAGATTTTGAACGAATTCTATTTGACAATTCGGCCCAAACTGTGAAGATGTAATTGCTCGTTTTCGATTATATTCAGCTTGAAGATGTGTACGATAAAATACAAATGCATAATTAAGATATGGTGGTAATCGACTTTGTTTTAATAAAATTTTACTTGAATCATTAAAAAAATATCGAAGATTGTTTTTTGTTATTTGTTTACTAAGATTCGATAAATGTAAGATTTTCTTTACATCAATTTTATATTGATTATTTGTTTTTTTCATTATAAATTTTTTGTGATTTGTTATTGTCTATTTTTTAAGAAGATTTTAAATATAAAAGAATATTTAAGGTGAATAAACTTACTGATAAACTATTATTATTTAAATAGATTTGTTCATTAGATAATGATGGTATATCAAGAATATTTAATACTTGTTCAGAAGTTAAAGACACAGGTTCATTATTATTCATAAAAATATCACTGGGAAAATCTTCTAATGGAAATATTTCATTAAAATCAGTTTCATTATGAAATTGTGAAAATTGCATTGATTCATTACTAATGTCCATCAAAAGATCTTCTCTAAAAATTCAAATTAATTTATATGCATCAATTTTACAAATCGAACTTACTCATGAATATTATCGAGAAATGGTATAGCTTCATCTAATTCAGAATCTTTATCTAAATATATAAATAAATTTAAAAAAATATTCTTAAATAAAAAAGAGAAAATACTTTGATGAATATTAATTTGAAAATATTTTTGAATATATTTTTGAATAGCTGCATCATTATACAAATTCATATCAATTGCTTCATCTTTATTTGAATTTGACGATAATTTACAACGGCATAAAGACGAATTTCTGGTAAACTGATCAAAAACCCAAGATGGTAAACCAAAATGAATTGATTCACATAGAATTTCATCTTGGGTGAAGCTTTGTGAAAGAATTCCAGATGCTAAAATAAGTATTTCATTTGCTTCTTGAGTTACTTTTTTATATTTTATATTAAATTTATTAAAGAATGATGGATTAATTATAATTTCATCATGTTCGACACATATTGATGGTTTATTTTCTTGAAATACTTTTTCAAATTTTTTTCTTTCTTCTGATGGAATTATATACCAGTAACGAATACCACCTTCATGATGATAATTTAGTTGATAAAGATTTTGTTTATTTGCAGATAAAGGAAATATTGCACCGGGTCCATGTGCTTTGATTAATGTTGATGAGTATTTCTTACAAAATTTTTTTCCAGATAATTTTAAAAGTGATTTAAAAGGTAAGTCATGAAAATCAAATTGATCACGATCAACACGTTTTAAAAATAATGATTGATCATTAATTATTGAAATATTTGAGATATTTTCTGTATTCGATCCATTTGGTAATAATAACCAAAATGTTTCATCATTTAGTAAAATATTTTCGTTTAAAATTTCTTTATTTTCATTCAATGAATTTGTTTTTATTGAATAAATTAAATCATCATTACCAATTTGTGTAACTTGTTGAATTGTTGAACGTAATGGAACATTTATTGGTGTTTTTTTTAATAGATTTTTAAACTTTTTTGGTGGAATTAATTTAATTGCGCCATTTTCTTTTAATAATGATTCATTTTTATAAACATATTTTAATAAATCTTTCAGTTCCTTATCTTTCAATAACATTGTTGGAATATCATATGATTCGATAGACATTTTTTAATCAAAATAAATAAATAATCAAGTATTTTTTTCTTACTTCGTGGTTATCGGTAATCGAATGCGTTTGCTACAGAATAGATTTTTTGTCCTCTTGGTATTCTACAGGTAGACAACACAGACAGAAACAGCTCAGCCGTAAACGGGCGTAATAGACAGACGGGTAAAATCCCAAAATATGATTATATCAACAACACATATTACCGTGTGCAGGCGTATACAGACTCAATATTCTTCGTCCTGAGAAATCAGAATAAAGGCCATATGACGTTTTTTATTCGAATAGAGTAGATTAAAATAGTTCAATTAAACATTTTATCAATTTTTTAATAGAAAATCAAAAAAAAAATAATGATTATATGCAAGATTATTAAAATGACAAACCCTTCGATTAAAATAAACTCTCTAAAATACGAATTTAGAATTTATAAAAATATAATTTTTGTTTCTAAAAAAACATTTTCGATGGTTAACGTTGCTTAATTATTCATCAGACTACATTTTTATCTGTTCATCTGATGACGTCAAAAAGGTAATTTCGCTTTATTTCTATTTTGATGGAGAATCGTGGACAAATTTTTGTTTTTTCTTATATAAATTATATGAATCAAGACGAAATGATAGACGAACAATAGACATGCCTCGTTTTCCTTCATAATATTTGTTTGTTTTTGTTACCTTGAATAAAAAAATATTCGTATCGTGTTAATTTATCATAAACGTTAAGATTTAAATGTAAAAAAAACCAGGATGGGGGTGTAGGTGCGAGTTTAAGTATTAATAATGAATGAGTAGAAAACCCACACCCACATCCGTTGCGACATTGATACTTAATCAACCACAACCACACCCATCTACTGCTTTATTTTCTAAACGACATTGTATAATAAAGTAAATATTCGTTGTTTTACTCAAATCCTTTGTCTTAAAATAAGAGGCTTTCTTTGATTTATTAACTTTTATTATTCAGGATTTCATTGTCTGATTCTGTTTCCAGTAATAATACAAACTATTACAAACAATGATAAAGAAATATAGTTTTAATTGCCATTTATCTTTAAATTTTTTCTTTGGTTGCCTATAAGCAAACAATGTAAAAAAAATAAATGTTAATGAAAAAGAATAATTTATATTTACGAACAAAAAAAAGGTATTTTTACAATATTTCAACATATTAGTGTAAAAATTAATATCCTCTATGAATTATTTTTTGCATTAATGTACTGCGTGATCATGATGAAAAATAAAAAATTAGTATTCACGATTATAATATGTACGTTAAAAATCTTAAGTATTTATTCGAAATTTAATGTTCACATTGAAATTAGAAATAATATCTGACAACTCATATGCCATTTTTAACAAAAAAAAATCAAGAGAATATATAAGTTAATTGAATAGTATTATATAAAAACAAAAATGAGAAAATTATGTAATCGGCTAGTTTATTTATCATTTTCGCTTTCAATATTAACCAAATAATTATCATTATTTTATTGATTAATACGATGATCGTGTTGCTTTGATTTTTTCTGTATTGGCTGATCATTCATTCTGGATTTATCATCATTCGTTTAGTATCTTTATCATTATTAGTTTCAGTAAAATTAATAGAAAATTTTTTACCTAAAATGTCCATATTTTTTTGTAGAAACATAATTTTATTTAGTTTATCGGCACCTAGTTTTGTTCTTTTATCGGTAACTGTATTTTACACGATGAAAATAAACCTTCTACCAAAGTATTTGAAACTAGTACAGCTAATACACCTCTAGCAATTAACGGAAATAACTTCTGTTATTCATTCCAATATGACAATATATCAGACAGACGGCACGACCGATCGAGAAAATATTTTTTGTATGTTTCGATATACTCTGTAACACTTCTAATCATAATTGTGAACTGCATCGTGAAAATGCGTGATCGTGATCAAAAATATCAATCATGGAGTACATTATTTTGCATTATAATAGGTTTACTTTGTTAATTCTAATAATAGATAATTTAGTTAACGAGGAAAATATGCGAATTTACTCATAAATTAAGAATTCGTACATGTAGTTAACTATTATTTTGTAAAACAATGATTCGCTAGTTATTGAACACTCTCTGTTGGGTATCAATTAATAAATGTAGTTATCTTTTATATTTAATCAAAAATTCAATACAAAAATAGCTAGATGTACATGAAGAAAGACTTAAATATTTTAACTGTACATTTAATTTTTAAGATATTTTGAACTAATAGAAATCATAAACAAATTCACAGATCGTTGTTACATTTTTAAAATGGTAACTGAATGGCACCCTATCATTGTCAAACTACACTATTAGTAAAAAACTTATTGAACGAATGAGATATGTAAGCGAAGCCCACCATTGATACTTTTATTACCAAGTCAAATATTTGTAATAAATATTTATATAATCCACCGTAAGGTTTCTTCATCATCTCGACGTATGTATCAAATTTGTTATTATATATTACAATCAGTTCGCAAATAATAAGTCACAAAATAGTGATAAGACGGCGAAACCGAGCTCCTATCTTTCATTTTCAGATTTTCAATACGTGATTTAATTCATTTCTAAATAGCGTCATCGATAATTCCCCCGAGCAAATCAGTGTTTACATTTGCTCCTCTATAAACGTTTGTTTTTCTTTTTCGTAGAGGCTGCATAGTTCTGAATTTGAATAAACATGTCTTTGAATATTAATTAGACCATTGTAACTATAAAATTGATTTCAGATGAATTTTTTTATTTTTTTTCTATTCAATTAAATCTTATTTCATTTCATCTTAGTTTTTTTATCTAATAATTGAGATTAAAATGTATAGAGTATTGAAATCTTTCTTCGCGAATTGCCTTTGTGTTCTTGTTAACATTTTCACAATGTATACATCAAAGGACGAAGGCGTATAAGAAGCCAAATCGGCCCACGGGACTTCTTTCGATCAATTTCAATGAATCATATAGATTAACTGAAAAAACATATTAAAATAAACAAAGTAACTCATCTTTGGTCATTAATCTAATAAAACCATCCTGACATGATCAACTCACTTTTATCATAAACCGATTATAAAATGTAGTTGTCAAATAAAGTATTTCATAGCATTTTGATAGAATTTCAATTCTATGTATGAATTAACAACTGATTGTTTGATTTAGAGGGAAGGGTATTTGATAATCTGGTAGGCAATGTTCATATGGATCCTATACTTATCATCAACTTCTTATCTTCCAACAGAAACTTGATCAGAAACGTTTAAGGTACCAAAATTCTAGTAAAGCTCATTTGATAGCACATTTCAAAAACTACAAAATCATATACCTTCTTAAGCCTAAAATATCTGGGCACTAGAAAAATTTCTAGTCATATCGTGTTTATTAGAGTACGGTTTTTCTATATTTTGTTGATGTTTGATCAATAATGAATCTTGTTCATCGATAAAACTCTAGTATAATGTAAAAACAATATGAAATTCGAACTCAGCATCAAAAACTGCCTTGATATATATATTTTTCATAAACTTCAGACGGCTGATTTTTCTTAAAAAATTCGCCTTTACTTCACCTCATGATACTACATAAAAAATAAAAAAAATAAAGATTCTCGGAAATATTTGAAAAATATATACGTAAATCAACCCAATTATTAATGTGTTCAGTTCAAATCTGTGAAGAATTTAGTTTATTCCATAGACGACACATCACACACGCAAGTCCACTGAACTGAATACTATATATGTATTGCTTTGAAAGTCTTCTTTCATGTATACAATACGTTCCAGTACATTCTCTTCTACTTAGAACAACAAAAAAAAAAGAGACAGGAGCAAATAGATAAGTGAGAAGAGTGTGAATGGAAACAAACAAACATGAAAGAGAAAAGAATATAAGGTGCAGGTAATTCGAACTTCAGGTGAAATACTTTTTCACAGTTTTTATACATCATTCGATAGAGTTTGAGCTGTTAATCACGAACATAAACTCTTTAGCTTTAGCAAATACTTTCTTTCGGTCGAAAAATACGAAAAACATGAAGCAGGTCGTTTTTATTAAAAAACATATCTTTTTCGAAGTATGATATTTTTTTCTACTTAGTTCTTTTAGCAAACTTCTAAGAACAACTTTTTCAGTTTCAGCATCGGAAACTGAATAAAAAAATGCTCTTAAATCGACTGTAGGTTGAAAAGCCTATTGGTGGTGGTGCTTTTAGTTTTGTCGACTCTACTACGGAAGTGATAAAGCCAAATATTTTATCTCGTTCGACTCATTATACCACTAGTCAAAAAGTTATGTATCGCTTTTTTTCTCTTTTTTTATGTATTGATAAAATCCGGGTTTACTAGTCTAAAAACTAGTGAAAACTGCCTAAAATAGCTATAATTCCAGTAAACTCGGTTTTTCTTAACACCTAAAAGGAAAGTAAAAAAAGCGATGAGTAACTTTTTGAGTGATAGTATGATGAGTCAAACGCGATGAAATATTTGATTTTATTACTTCCATGGTAGAGTCAACGAAATTAGAAGCACCGCCACCAATAGAATTCTCAGCGTGCAGCCGATTCAAGAGCATATTTTTATTCAGTTTTTTATGCTGAATTTGAAAAAATTATTTTTAGAAGTTTACCAAAAGAATCGAATAGAAAAAATATCATACTTCGAAAAGAATGTATTTTTAAATGAAAATGACCTGCTTCATATTTTTCGTATTTTTCTTCCTAATATTCAGAAAATCATAAGACTCTTTTTGCTATCATACTTTTCAAATATTACTCATAACAACAAAGTATCGTGCTTTCATATGCATAATTTAACGAGTATTACTTTTGAATACATTATAATTACGTCCTATACTTATACAACCAGTCAAAAACAAATCGTAGGTCATGATTCGAGGGGACCAATCGAACCATGTAAATTTTTCATATGTACACCGTTCTGTTCTCTAGTCAATAAAAACACATTAATGGTTGTATTCATGCAATAGAAACAGAAAAGAAAATACACATCTTATTCACATTATATTATAACATGTGCTTATGTGATTGATACATTTTTCTAAATTACATCACTTATGTATTAGATTATATTTACCGATAGACAATACATGATTTTATAAAAAAATAATAAAGATAATATAAATTTTATTATAAAATTTAATATAAAAATTTAATATTGATATTCTAGATATATTCTTTTTTTTGAATATTTCTCAGATCCCATGGCGATCAATACGGAAATAAATAACATCGAAAAAGAAGATACAGATGTACGTCTCCTTCGAGAAATGGGTTATACACAAGAACTCTATCGTGGTTTTTCACCATTGATGTCATTTGCTTTTTGCTTTACTGCTGTCAATGTACTTGCATCAATCTCTATAGGTTTAACTTATTCATTAACTACAGGAGGATCAGGTGTGACTTTTTGGTCATGGATCATTGGATCCGTATTTACTATTCTTGTTGGTCTTTCATTAGCTGAAATTTGTTCAGTTTATCCAAGTGCTGGATCTGTTTATCATTGGTGAACAAAAACTATTCTATATATTATTCAAATGTAACATACAAATATTTTCCTCTTATTTAGGGCTGGTCAACTTACATCTGCTAAACACGCACCATTAGCATCCTTTATTTGTGGCTGGTTTAATTTTATCGGAAATACTGCAGGTAAATATAGATTTAACTTTCTATCAAAACCTTTTTTCATTCATATTAACAAATAGGTGATGCTGCATTTTCATCTGGCTTTGCAACTATGGTTAATGCTGCAATTGTACTCAATGGTGGAGATTCATTAAGTACTGGTGTTCAAGTTGCTATTGGTATTGGCATAACATTTGTATGGTCTGTTCAAAATGCACTTCGTATCGATCAACAAGGATGGTTAAATAATCTGGCTGCTTTTTTTCAAATCTCATCGACGATAGCTATTGTCATTGTTTTATTTGTTATGGCTCCACAACGAGCAGCTGCTAGTGATGTCTTTACATCGACATATAATGGTACTGGTTTTCCAATTGGCTATGTATATTGTATTAGTATTCTTTCAACATTATTTTCATTTGCTGGTTATGAAGGTAATATAAAAAACGCAGAAAAGAGAATTAGTTTAATGTGAACATATTTATATCTGATTTTAGCTGGTGCTCATTTAGCTGAAGAAACAAGAGGGGCTGGTCGAGCAGGTGAATTAAATATAAGAATAATAATAAATTTCATATCGATCCTATTTCATTTATAGCTCCAAAAGGAATTGTTGGTACATGCATATGTAGTGCACTCGTTGGTGTTGCTTATATACTTGCTCTTCTTTTTGCTATACCAGATGTTGAAACATTCGTCACTAATAATAGTGGAGATAACGCGCCACCAAGTTTAGTTGTAGCTACATATCAGATAGCTGCACCAGGAGCTGCTGCAATGGCATTAACTATTCTTCTTATTATCAATCTTTATTTTGCTGGTATGTCTTCTATCACGGTAACGAGTCGTATTGGGTATGTACAATATATAAGAGAGTAGATAATATAGATTTTAATATAAATTTTGTTTTCGAATAGATTTGCAATGTCTCGTGATGGTGTTTTTCCATTATCAAAATATTTACGATGGATTTATAAAAGAACACAAACTCCATTAGCTAATATAGTACTTATATTTTTTGTCGATAGTTTATTACTCTTACTTCAACTAGCATCAACAACCGCGTTTACTGATATACTTTCTATTGCAACATTTGGTTTTCAAGTGTCTTATTTAATGCCGATATTTCTTCGTTGTACTGTGGCTCGTAAAACATTTGTCTTAGGAGAATTTAACTTAGGACGATTTGGTGTGCCTATTGCAGTTATTGCATCAATATGGTTAACAATAACATCAATAATTATGTTTTTTCCAGCGCAATATCCAGTGACAAAAGATAACATGAATTACACAGTTGTAATTGCTGGTGGAGTATTGATACTTGCTGCAACATATTGGTTCATTTCCGCTCGTCATTGGTTTGTTGGTCCCAAACGAGTTGATGCAGATTCAACGCCATTACCACCTGCATATGTAGCATCAGAAGATAACACGACAAAAGACATGTCGTCTGAGGTTGCTACATCTCGAGTTTAAGTTGAAAATAATTTGATTATTTTAGATGAAAAGAAATATTTTTTTAAATTTAATAAGTGTGATTTCGTATAAAATAAAAAATAAATCTAATGCTAAAATACGGTTAATGAACATGAATAAGAATGATGTCAACAAACAACAAATATGGTCATAATGTTTTTTTTGACAAAATCAGTTATACATTGTTAATCTAATAATAATTAAAGATAAAAGTATTGTAAATTATGTGTCTTTATTTAGAATAGAAATTAATGATAAATCAATTTTCACATATATTATTCATTAGTAAAAATATTAGAGCAGAGCGAATTTTCACTTATTTTAATACCTTCAATGACTCTTGAAAAAACTTATAGTACGAGAGTAATGCGATTGAAATTCTGTCATGATTTTTGTTTTTTGATTTCTAGTCACAAAGAAATATCGTAGAAACTATGTTTACAATATTTATTTAAAATAATTTAATGAAATATGATATTTTTCTAAGATTATCGAACTCTTAAAACAAAAAACCATCATTAAAACTATTCTATAACTTGTTTGAACTAACAACATATTTTATAATATCAATATTGATAGTGAAAGTAAAGAATTTGTTTTATTTAAGATCGAGAAGAAACAAACTGATTTCGAAAGCAGAAATCAGTTTGAAGTAGAATATCGAAAGATTTAAATAAATTATTTATTAGTTAAAATATTCTCGATAAATCTAGAAATTATTTTTTTTCTGACGTTTATTTATTCTAGAAACTTTATTATCTTTAGTAAACAACTCTCATGCAATTCTTGTCTATATTCTTATATTATACATTTTGTTAAAGCATTTACAAAATACTATCACAATGTTTTATCAAGAATAAAACTTCCATTTTTTATAGTTGTTGCAGAATAGATCTTTGCTATTTGTCATGTCAATCCAATTTCACATGTATGAAGCATGTTTTTTTGTTCCCATAGAATATTTACTCATACAATAAGAGATCGATTTTTGTAAACCAAATAACAAAATAATTGAGCTAAATATAAATATAAAGATAATTATATGAATTTGTAGATGATTGTTTAGACGACACAACATGCTAGAAATAAATAAAACTCATGCTGGTTATTATAGTGAATGTCAGTTAGAAATTATATGCCAACGTATAAATGTATATTTTTTTGTGTGTAAATCGTACAAAGAAGAGAATGGTTTGATCGATAAATTTTTGTTATACTATGCATAGGATTTATTTTCGCATTATTATGCAAATAATCATATATTTGTTATATGATGGCAATCAATAAAAAATACAGGAGTTAAAATAAAATACCAGGATGACTTCAGCAAAAACGAAATTAATTGTCTTATTGGTTAACTTTCTTATAATTATATGAGCACTATTTATACTTAGAAAAATTTATCAGATACTATTCTTTTTAGTTATAAATATATATTTAAATTAATTTCACAGCTGTTAAATATTAATATACCGATTACGTTAATACTATTTTTAATCTCGAAATATAAATATTAGTTTTCAAATAATACGATTTTAAAAAATGATAATCATATGTCTAGAATTATCTAATTGTTCATAATCACTGGATCCTATTTTCATATGCTCAGTTTCCATCTATTTAGATTTAGTTTTCTATGTTACAAGTAAAATATTAAACTTAACGAAATGCATCAGAAAATCTTTCTTTTTGAATATATTATACGAGTCTGTTGACTTACCGTTTGCTGCGAGTACAAATCTAAGCACAGTTATTTTTCATCAGATCTAAAGTTGAATCATCTACATTTTTATTACAAATTCACGCTGAAAAACAGTTATTATCTTACCATGTTTAGCTAATTTATGAATAAGGATATCAGTGTCTACAACTAATGATGAAGAATGAAGCCTAAATAGGAAATAATTTCTTTCGTTGTTATCTTTTACTTACCAAGCATAACTGGTTTCTTTGTATTATAAATCATTCAATCGCATGTATTTATCAAAGATAACAAGAGGAAATATAATTCGTAAAAAATTGAATTTATATAATAACATGATTTAGTATGTTATGATCTTTATTTAATTACAATTCTTATGACAAATTTAATTCGCCTATTTTAATTTATTAACGCATTACGTAGTTAATTATGAGTTTATGGTCTTTTTTTATGTCAAACTGCATTTTGGTACAAAACTAAGAGTTTTTTTCTAAAATCTGGACGCTTTATGAAGTATTCATTAGAAAACTAAGATTGATTATTCAAAAGCGTTTTCATCAAGAAAAGTGTATTGAATTATTTCCGAAAGATTCTGATTTATGAAAAACAGAATTGAATTCTAACAAAGGTGTAATTTGTTTTTTGAACTTCCGACTATAACACTTTAATTCCTCATTTTTCTGCTGCAGGTCAATGAAAATTATACCAAAATATATCTTTCATCATACAAAAAAGTTCTAGTTATGCGTAATGTAAGAGTAACTATAGAAAATTTGAAGTATTTTTAATTTAATCAATAATAAAATATTGCAGTAAGAAAAATAATTTTCTTCTATGTTGATTTTTTAATGCTCAAGTTTAAATTAGCAATAAGTCGAATTTACGACTGTTGACTGTCTTTGACAAACTGATCAATACGGTCATGATGTTCGAAAAATGTTCTAAATACAATAATATAATTTAATTTATAAATATCCATAAAATAACTCAAAGTTGAGATACACCATGACCAGACGAAATACTCATATTGATTCAAACTGCTGAATTTAAAAATGAACGTCAAAATAAAAACAGAGTTTCATCTATTATTGCGATGTTTTATTATTGACAACATCACAATTTTTTTCAAGTTGCACTTGAGTTCAACTTCAGTTTTTTGGCTGGTCATGATGTCTTTCGATTATGGATTTTTATGAATTCGTTTAATGTATTTAGGCTATTTTCGTACTGATGATGATCGTATTTATCAGGTTGTCTAAAATAGTCAATAGTCGAAAATTCTAGTTGCTTTTCCATTTAAAACTGAAAATCGAAAAGAAAATTCTTTCTGTTATTGCAATATTTTATTATTGATTAAATTAAAAATACTTCATATTTTTCTAAAGTTACATTTGTATTTTATATAGAATTTATTCAAAAATTCGTTCGATTACTGCAATATGTTATTATTGATTACATTAAATTTTTTCTCAAGTTGCATTTACGTTGTACATGACTTTTATTCATCACTTGAGTTTGTTTTTAGGTCATGATGATTCTCGATTATAGATTATATTACATAGATGTTTTTTGCACGTTTTTGAGAGCCAATGATGATCGTCTTTACGAGCTTGTCAAACAAAGTCAACAGTTGAAAATTCAACCTGCTTTTTGAATTGAAAATAAAAAAAAATTGTTTGTATTATTGTAATATTTTATTATTGATTAAATTATAGAAGTACCTTTAACATTTCTTAAGCTACACGGATACTATAAATATGACGTTTATTCAACAGTTTAATAAAAAACAAAACTCTTTCTATTACTACGTTACTTTATTACTCTACTTATGTATCTATAATTGTATTATGTTTATAACGATTCTTACGATCATTTTAACTACATAACTACTACCTGTTCATCGTAATTGTGTTACAGACAAAGACAGGTAAGTTTTTATCTTTAGATTCTAGTTTTAACAGTCTAGGAGATAGGAATTTTTCTTTACTTACAAAACGCGCGGAAGAAAGATGGTTTTTATTGTGAATTTCGTTCTTTTTCACATTACCAGAGAATTAAAAAGAAAAGTTAAGCGCTAGTCTTTACTAACATGCGTTTTGAAGACGAAATTAAAATTGATAATAGATAATAAATTAGACATATGTTTTTAAACATTGATCAGATTGTTATCGATAATAAAAATGCATATTTATTTGTAGCGAATTCTAAACTTCTGTAAATTCTCGATTCCGCAATAATCGACATTCTATACAATTTCGTAGATACATCTCGATTCATATGCCATCTACTTTCAATTTGAACCTATTCGTACAATGGTAAACTAGTCAATCATTTATTGACATCTATTGGTTACAGTTTTTATTTTAATTGAAAAATAATATGATTACAATTATCAAATGTACCACTTATACAATAATAATCTCTAACAAACGTTGCGCAAATAATCTATATATAAACTATCCATAATTCTCAATAACATTTATGAAATTTCTCTTCTTAAATAAGATACAGTGCATAGTTTTCTTGAAATGATTCATTGATAGTATATATATAACATCGCACATGATGACGTGTCAAATTCTATAAAATGTCTTTTTTTTCTATCATCCATATATATATTCGAATTCTTTTCTCCGTTCCTCATACTTTTATCTAACTGGTTTGATTTTTCGACATCTATCTATTATCAAAATGGATATCAATCATCGCTTACAAAATGTTGAACAATCATCAACAGTCTACGTACATCAAGCCGAAAAATTTCATGCTGAAGCAACTCATGTAAAATGAATTTATTTATCCGCAACAAAAAAAATTCATTTTCATATTCATCTCGATTTTAGTTATCATCACTTTTAGAAAAATCTTTTCTCGAAGCTGAACAATTTATAAATAATCGTATGCAAGTTTTAGCATCACAAAATATGGATACAAATCAACGATTAGAAAATGAACAAGTACTTTTAGCAGCTACACGATCGAAACTTGATACAACATTAACTAAATTAACACAATGTCATCAAGAAGCTATACGTTTACAATCAAATACTGATTCGCGTTTTCGTTTAATGATAAATACAGCTAGAGGTCGTTTAGAACAAGTCGAAAGACTTAAAACAAAAATGATGCGATATGAAAATTCACTTGAAATAGCATCACCTATAAGTGAAGATGTCGATATAATTTTATCGAAATCAGATAATTCAACAACACGAAAATTTCAAGTAAATAAAAGAAAAAGAAAAAAACAACTTGTTTTGTTTATATAGAATTGTATTACTTAAGGATGAATTAAAACGTGTAACTGATCAATTAAAAAATCTTGTTGATTTAAGTAAAGAAACTCGAAATGAAACACAAATATTACATGGACAATATGATACAGACGTTAATCGTCAGATTGGAACTTTAATGCGTCATGATAAAACTGAACGAGAACAATTAAGCATATTAATTGAACATAAACAAAGTTTAGTACGAGAAATTGATTGGATACGTGAACAAAAAAAAATTATTGATAATTTTATATCTAAAATGGCTCCAACACTTGATAAATGTCTATGTGATGGACCATCAATAAATAATTCTAACCGAACTGTTCGTTGATGTTAGTAGCATATTTTTTAGAATAAATAAAAAGAAAATCATATCCACTTCGAATTGTCTATTTTAAAACAAATAACACTTGATTATATTTTTCTTTCTACTACTCACAAAATCATAAGAACATTTTTACCATCATATTTTTCAACATATAATTCACAGTAACAAAGTTGTCATGCTTTCATTTGCATGATCTAATGAATATTACTTTTGAACACATTTTATTTACATTCTATATTTTCACAACTAGTCAAAAAATTAATCGTAGGCCATCATTAGAGCAAATCGACTGAACCTTATCAATTATTTATATGTATATATTTCGTTTCTCTAGTAAATAAAAGTATATTAATGGTTGTATTCATGCAATAGCGACATACAAAAGAAAATACATATGTTATTTATATATTTTTCTAAATGACATCACTTTTGTATTAGATGATATTTACCAATACAATACATAATTTTATAAAAGAATACTAAAGGTGATACGTGATTTGTTATAAAATTTAATATTGATATTCTAGATATATTCTTTCTTCTGAATATTTATCGTATTCTATCGTAATCACTATGAAAGTATCTCCAGATCCAAAAGAAGATACAGATGTACGTCTCCTCCGAGAAATGGGTTATACACAAGAACTCTATCGTGGATTTTCACCATTGATGTCATTTGCTTTTTGCTTTACGGCTGTCAATGTACTTGCATCAATCTCTTTGGGTTTTACTTTTACATTAAATACGGGTGGTTCAGGTGTCGCTTTTTGGTCATGGATAGTTGGATCCGTATTTACTATTCTTGTTGGTCTTTCAATGGCTGAAATTTGTTCAGTTTATCCAAGTGCTGGATCTGTTTATCATTGGTAAACAAAAACTATTCTACATATTATTCAGATGTAATATACAAATATTTTCCTTTTATTTAGGGCAGGTCAACTTACATCTGCTAAACACGCACCATTAGCATCTTTTATTTGTGGGTGGTTTAATTTCATTGGAAATACTGCAGGTAAATATAGATTTAACTTTCTATTAAAGCCTTTTTTCATTCATAATAACAAATAGGCGATGCTGCATTTTCATCTGGCTTTGCTACTATGGTTAATGCTGCAATTGTACTAAACGGTGGAGATTCATTAAGTACCGGTGTTCAAGTTGCTATTGGTATTGGCATAACATTTATATGGGCTGTTCAAAATGCACTTCGTATCGATCAACAAGGGTGGTTAAACAATCTGGCTGCTTTTTTTCAAATATCATCGACGATAGCTATTGTTATTGTTTTATTTGTTATGGCCCCTCAACGAGCAGCTGCTAGTGATGTCTTTACATCGACATATAATGGTACTGGTTTTCCAATTGGCTATGTATATTGTATTAGTATTCTTTCAACATTATTCTCGTTTGCTGGTTATGAAGGTAATATAAATAGAAAAGAAAATAAGGTTAATGTGAACATATTTATATTTGTTTTTAGCTGGTGCACATTTAGCTGAAGAAACAAGAGGGGCTGGTCGAGCAGGTGAATTAAATCTAATATTAATAATAAGTTTCACATCGATTCTATTTCATTTATAGCTCCAAAAGGAATTGTTGGTACATGCATATGTAGTGCACTCGTTGGTGTCGCTTATATACTTGCTCTTCTTTTTGCTATACCAGATGTTGAAACATTCGTCAATAATAATACTGGAGATGACGCTCCACCAAGTTTAGTTGTAGCTGCATATCAATTAGCTCTACCAGCAAGTGCTGCAATGGCGTTAACTATTCTTCTTATTATCAATCTTTATTTTGCTGGAATATCTGCTGTAACAGTAACGAGTCGTATTGGGTATGTACAATATATAAGAGAGAAGATAATATAGATTTTAATATAAATTTTGTTTTTAAATAGATTTGCAATGGCTCGTGATGGTGTTTTTCCATTATCAAAATATTTACGTTGGATATATAAAAGAACACAAACTCCATTAGCTAATATAGTACTTATATTTTTTGTCGATAGTTTATTACTGTTACTTCAACTAGCATCAGCAACAGCGTTTACTAGTATACTTGCTATTGCAACATTTGGTTTTCAGATGTCTTATTTAATGCCAATATTTCTTCGTTGTACAGTGGCTCGTAAAACATTTGTCTTAGGTGAATTTAACTTAGGACGATTTGGTGTACCTATTGCAATTATCGCATCAATATGGCTAACAACAACATCAATAATTATGTTTTTTCCATCAGAATATCCTGTTACAAAAGATAACATGAATTATACAGTTGTAATTGCTGGTGGAGTATTGATACTTGCTGCCACTTATTGGATCATTTCAGCTCGTCATTGGTTTGTTGGTCCTAAACGAACTGATGCAGACCCAACGCCATTACCACCTGGACATGTAGCATCAGAAGATACCACGACAAAAGACGTGCCATCTGACGCTGCTGCGTCTCGAGTTTAACTTGAAAATAATCTGAGTATTTTAATTGAAAAGAAATATTTTTATAAATTTAATAAAAGTGTGGTTTTTTATAATATAAAGAAACAAATATAATATTAAAATACGATTAAGAAATATGAGTAAGAGTGGATGTAGATATATGAGTATTTTGTTTATCGCATATCCGCACTCATCTAATAATTTATATACACAAAAAGACTGATAACATTCTTTATTAAATCATAGTATTTAAAGCAATACATCACTTCTCTACGATATCCTATAAAAAGAACATATCGTCCTAGTATTAAACACACAACGTTAAGTTGTCTAAGTAAATTATTTACTTTTAATACTCGAATATATCGAAAGTAGAATACGGAAAGGCTAAAATGAATTATTTCTTAATAAAAATATTCTCACGAAATCTAGAAGAGTTTTTTTTTTGACATTTATTTACTCTAAAGATTTTATAATCTTTAGTAAATAGCTCTCATGCAATTCTTTTCTGTATTTTTATATTACACATTTTGTTAAAACTTTAACAAGATACTATCACAATGTTTTATCAAAAATAAAACTTCCATTTTTTATAGTTGTTGCAGAATAAATCTCTGCTATTTGTCATGTCAATTAAATTTTACATATATGAAACATGTTTTTTCTGTTCCCATAGAATATTTACTCATACAATAAGAGATCGATTTTGGTAAACCAAATAACAAAATAATTGAGCTAAGTATAAGTATAAAGATAATTATATAAATTTGTAGATGATACAACATGCTAGAAATAAATAAAACTGATGCTGGTTATTATAGTGAATGTCAACTAGAAATTATATGCCAATATGTAAATGTATATTTTTTTTACATAAATCGTATAAAGAAGAGAATGGTTTGATCGATAAATTTCTGTAATACTATGCATAGGATTTATTTTCGCATTATTGTGCAAATAATCATATACTTGTTATATGATGGCAATCAATAAGAAATACAGGAGTTAAAACAAAATGCCAGGATGACTTCAGCAGAAACGATATTGATTTTCTTTTTTAACTAGAGAAAAAGCTGCATTGTTTATTACATTACTTTAAAATAAGGAAGAAAGAAGTTTTATTTTCAATAATATTAGTTTTCTTTGTATCAATTATGATAGATAGTGGTAAGGAAAAAATTCTAGAATCATAACAACAGATTAATACATAGAATAAAAAGTAAAGGAGAGACGTTGATCATATTGTTGATAACAACTTTTTCTATGTTCTTTCAATCTTAATATAGACTTGTTTACTTTCGTCATTTGACTTTTTTTCTTTTCTCTCCTTGTATAATATTTCATCGTATTCTATTGACGTTTGATGATGAATCGAACATTATATAGAACACTATTTTTATTATTTGGACTTACATTTAAAATTATATCAAGTACAACGTATGATTGCTCATCAAATGCTTCATGTGGATGTTCAGTTAAATCAGCTGTTGTAACAAAAATTATTAATGGAGAATCAGCTACAAAAGAAACATGGGGATGGGCTGCATCACTTCGTTATTCATCTAGTAATTCTCATTATTGCGGAGGAACAATTATATCTAATTTACATATTCTTACTGCAGCTCATTGTACTATTAAATTAGCATCTCCTTCTTTAATAAATGTATATGTTGGATCAATTTATTTATCTTCAGTAGTTCAAGTAAGACGTGTTTCAAAAATATATAATCATCCATCATATTCATCAGACAATTTTCATAATGATATTGCTATACTTAAATTATCATCACCATTAAATCTTGATCAAGACGGTGTTGATCTTATTTGTTTACCTAATATATCATCAACTAGACTGTCTACTGGAGAATATCCTATAGCTGGTCTAAATGTAATGTTACTATATTTATTAGATATTTATGAAGAAACTTTTTTTTATTTATCAATCATAGTTAGTTGCTATTGGTTGGGGTGTTTTATCGGATGGAAGTGAAATTGCTTCTCCAATACTTCAACAAGTAACAATTCAATCAATCGCTGCAAATAGTATTTATTGTAAAAATATTGGTATACATGATTCATATACACAATTTTGTGCAGGTGTAATGCCGTTAGGAGGTAAAGGTGATTGATCGTATATAAAACTTTGTCTTTTTTTTATTTTATATATGTAAAACAAAAATATTTTCGTCTAGATACATGCCAAGGTGATAGTGGTGGACCATTATTAATGTTTACTTCGGAGAATGTTTGGGAACAAGTTGGAATAACATCAGTTGGATATAAATGTGCACTAGCAAATTATCCTGGTTTATATACACGTGTTGCAGCTTATCAGTCGTGGATAAATGCAACAATGAATAATGCAAATCAAATATTTACTATTTCTTATATCATATTTATTCCACTGATATTAATGAATAAATTATAATTTTTTCTTCAATCAACTTTCAATTCTATATTCATCTTATTGTTTTATGTGATATAGAATAGTAATAGTTCTTTTTTTTCTCTTCTTTTTATGACAAATATGTATATTTATTAATTCTGATAAAATACTTTTTTATGAACAAGATACAAACAAATAAAAAAAATTTGAATTATGAATGTTCCATACAAAGTTATACTATTTGCACGTGATGATTTTGTTTCTGTTAATTGTTTAGTATTTCCAGTGAATTTAAAATCAGCATCAATTATTTGGTTGATATAAGAAATATAAAGAGCAACTCGGGTATAAACACCAGGATGCTCAGGTGATCCACAGATGTCTCCATAACTTGTGATACCTACTAATTGCCATCGTCGATCTTTAAAAAGCATCAATGGTCCACCACTATCACCTTGACATGTATCTTTTCCACCCTCAGGAGAACCAGCACAAAATTGTACAGTATCATCATTAATTGTATTTGCACAGGATTGATCGTTTCGTGAGATAGCCTGAACAGTCACTTGTCGAAGTACAGGTGAAGGTATTCGTGAGAAAGGTTCTGTTACACCCCAACCAATTGCAACAAGATCTGATGCTACAGGTGGATATTCAGCTAATGATAAATCAAATTCATATGATGATGGTAAACATATACGAGATACATTTGAATCAATTAAATTGATTGGTGAATCAAGACGTAATATAGCTAAATCATTTGCAGATGATGTTTGATCATACGATGGATGAATATACATTTGTACTATCTTCCGTAATTCACCAATATCTGTTAAATTAGTTATACCAAACATAAGTGATAAACTGGATAGTGATCTGACATATTTAACACAATGTGCTGCTGTTATAGCATGCATTGGAGAAATAAGAGTAGCACCACATTGATGAAAACCATCTTTCCTTAAAGATCCTATCCATCGCCATGGATTCGTTACATTTACTGGTTCACCACCAATTATTCTTGATAAACTAGCTGTTGCCCATTTTGAACAACCACATGTTGCTCGACGATTACACTCATATTTAGTGGATGTTGTAACATCAAATAGTGAGAATATTAATAATATTAAACAGACTATCTTCATAATAAAAATTTTTAGTGTGTACAATAACTTGTGTTATCTCTTGCATATTATGTATCTTTATAGTATGTCGTGCAACCTTGACAATCAATAAAATAATGACTATGTTTTGTTTTGCCTATTTTGTTCTTCGCAGTTTTATTCTTCCTACATATTATGTTTTGTTGCTCACGTTAAAACGTAATAAGCCCATTAGATTATATGGGGGCATGTAATTTTCAAGGACGTATAAATAAATATAATTAAAAAAATAATAAACAAGACCGATGAATACGGTCATTTATCTACGTAAGACGTAATTGTAATATCATAAGACAAAGAAAAAACACTGTTATGTCCTTATAAAATATACGTAATCCGGATGATGAAAAAATATATTGCTTGAAGACTGTATTTTTAATACATGATGTATTTTTTGTTAAAAAACACGATATCCAATCGACGTAATATGATACACGTGTATATACACCAGGATAATCTGGTAAAGCACAACCAGTTCCATAACTTGTTATACCAATTAAATTCCATTGACGATTAGAAAACATCATTAACGGACCACCACTATCACCTTGACATGTATCTAGACAAAAATTAAATAAATTTTTTTTATTTATTTTTCTCTTCTAATGAATAATTAATTCATGCCTCAATACCTTTTCCTCCTCCTTGAACGCCGGCACAAAGTTGAACAGTAGCATTATTTACAGATTTTCGACAGTTACTTGCTGTACTTGAAAATGTTTGTAATGTCACTTGTTGTAATGTATTAGGTGGAGTTTTACTATCTGATGATAATACACCCCAACCAATTGCAACAACAGATGTACCTACTGTTGGATATTCAACATTGTTCGTTGCTGTTGATGGTAAACAAATAAGTGCTACTGAACGATCATTTAAATTTATCGCTGTTGACAGTTGCATTATAGCTATATCATTAACAAATGTACTTGTATTATAATTTTTATGAACATATACTTTTGATACAGATCTCTGCTGATGAATAACAGATAAATATTTCGAACCGACATTAACACTAAGAGTTGATATTGATTTTACTGATGTAAGACAATGAGCAGCACTTAAAACTATTGTCGAAGATATTAATGAACCACCACATATATGATTATTATTTACACGTAAAGATACTATCCAACCCCATGTATCTGTTCCTGCTTGTTCACCGCCGACAATTTTAGTTAGAACTGCTGAATTCAATGAACAACCACATGTTGCATTTGACAAACAAGAATATGTTGTTGTTGTTGTAACAGCTGTAAATCCAACTTGAATAAAAATAAGTCGTAAAAAGAAGGTCGTTGCCATTTACAAGCACTATTACTTTATCGTTGTCGTCGACACCTTATTATTGACAAGGGTGCCACACGATACACAATGTATATATATATAATATTTGATGATGACGTTTTTTCTGTACTGCTCGAAGTGACAAGTGCAGAATATAAAGTGGAGACGAAATGTAAAAAAAAACGAAGGCTGTTAGTCATCAAATAGTACACATTCAATACTTTAAGTCAAAATGCAAAAAGAAATTAAAATATACATCTCCTATAGAGTACGTCTGTTACCTACGGAACAAACGTCAATTTTTTTTTAAGATCAACAAATTATAATACACCTTTTATTTGCATATGCTTCTGCTACCTTAAAAAAACTTCTAAAATTATAATATCAATATAAAATTCATATATCACATAATCTGATGTTTTATTAATCTACTTCAAACATAAAAAAAATTAATTTTATATTTAATAATGATCATATTGAAGATGGAGCCATAGTTATTTGATGATACTTTATAGGTATCAAAAAAGCACGTACAAAATGATTATGTTAATTTAATAAAAGTTCAAAGGAAATTATTTCTATTACATAATCTTGTTTTTTAATAGCATTCTATGCCGGAAGACGTGCTTTTGTTTTACAAAAGAAACATAACTACTTTTCCTGTCTCACAAAAGCTTTTTGATTACATCTATTGTATTTTAAGATAGTTTCCTATTCAATTTACTATAGAATATTGATGAGTTGTCAGTAGGAAAAATACAAATAAGTTATTGACTTTAATGTTCATATACATATATTATGTTGAATTTCTTTATTTAGCTATATGAGATAACTTTTTTTTCTTCTTTAGCTTTAATTATATACAATTACGATGTTATTATATTTAGATATAATCAGTGTAACACGCTACTTTAAGTAATAATCACGTGATAATACTTGACGGATCATGATATGGCGTAGTTATGAAAAATAAAAAAAAATAGGGTTTAGTAAGTACTCGGAAATAAAAATTCAACATGCACATCAATCTTACACGGATATCGAGTAAATATTTATAGTTACTTTAAAATTGAGTTCATTTTCATCAATCTATTCTATTTTTCTCATTAGATGTATCAGATAATGATTGTATTCTATATCGATTTATTTCGATTATATTTATTTGTATTTCAATTCCATCATTTACTTATAATATTCGTTTTATATCTACTGAACGTCATCGATTAAATCCATTAGCATTAAGTTTAATTGTAAATTCACTTGTATTAACCATTTTTAGTTCACCTTATATATTAACTCAATCAATAAAATGTACTCCAATACAATCGTATTTTATCTGTTCGTCTCAAGGTTTTATTTGTTTTACATGCGGTATTTGTGTAATGTATACAATGTGTTTATTATCATTTATTCAATATATTCGATTATTTTATAATTCAACTATCATCTATCGTATAATCAATCATAAGAATAGTGTTTTAATACCATTTTTATGTTGGTTTATATCATTGCTCTGGTCATTTCCACCATATATGAATATAAAACCCGGTTTTATGCGTGAAGGTCAAGGTTTTGATTGTGGTCTTAATTGGAAAAGAATAGATATTGAAAGTCATATATATATGTTATTAGCTTTTATATTTATCTATTTTTTACCATTATTTTGTTTATTATATACACATATTCGTATGTTAATAGCAATACGTAAACTTGTCTATCGACGATATCCAATAATATCTCAAACTACGAAAACAATGTCAATTGATATGCGTCATAGATTTTTTCATATGTTTACCATTGCTGAAAGTAATCGTCTTAAACGTCTTCGAATTGATCGAAGATTTGCTCGAGCAACAATGATTACTGTATTCTATTATATATTAGCTTGGACACCCTATGCAATATGTGGTATATTACAAATCATTTTTGCTATGAAATATATTCATTATCAACTTCCATCTATGCTATTAACATTATCAGCATTAATAGCAAAAATGGCAGTTATTGGACAATCATGTATTTATTTCTATACTATACAACCAGCAAATAAACGATTTTCATTAACATCAGCAACTTTAAAATAAACCATCTAATGAAGGTTATGTTCAATAATTCTTTCATATTATAGTTAAACAAGATTTCGTTACAGATATAACTGATTTCAGAAACTGGAATATGGAAACCTATACGTTTAATGTCAAAACACTTCTTTTATTCATTTGATCTGTTCTATGGAATGATCAATCTTTGATAAGGATATTTTCAAATTTTGAATATATTATTAACTATTAGTTTTCATGTCCGTTCATATTTATATGACTAATTTTGATGTCTTTTTTTTTCTTCCTATCAGGATCATTATCATGAGAAAAAGCAAAATATAATAACAATAAATAGAATCAAAAAGAAATCATATTTTTATCTTCAGTGATTATTCAGTCGTTGGCATGTGTACGTCTCATATTTGTTTCACCATCTATTGACCATTCATCAACTGATTCTAACCTACGTAAAAGTAATCGTTCAGTTACAACAGGATCGATATCCATATGTTTTTCTTCTATAAAATAAGTAAATAAACAATGTTTACGAAAATAATTATTAATTTAGATGTTTTATTGTACTTTGTAATATATAGAATTTGAGAATACAATGAAAAATAATGCCAGTTAGACATATAACAAGACCAATGATATTGATTGTATTTAATTCATTTTTATTATATTCAACAGCCAAATAGAGCATAACAACTTCCTTAAAAGAAATTCGAAAGAGTTTTTTTTATAATTAACTGATATTTATCAAGGTTAAATAGTAAATCAAAGGCTAGATTTTCTATTATATTTAGATAGTTATTCTTTTTTGCAATTGTTATGATACAAATAGATATATGAGATTTAGATTTAATAAAATAAAAAATGGAATCTACCTTGAAAATACCCGATACACTTAATGTCAATGAAGATGTATTTGAAACTAATAGAAATTCACTGAATTCAAGACAAAATGCTAATAATGCACTGGATCCAAATAGTCCGATGTAAACACCAATATGGGAAAATGTTTTTCTATTAAGTAAATGTAATTGATATAATAATTGTTGACCTAAGTAAAAAGACAAAATAAAAAGTTACAAAACAAAGAAACGAAGAAAAAACAAACCTTCTCTGATACCCGCAAGCGGAATGATTACGGCAAGCATCCACGGTTGAATATAGTACATAGCATCGACCGGATTGCTCAAACCTACAATGAATCGAGAAAAGAAGAGCTTAGTCGTCATTAATTATTTGTTGACTAAGTAGCTAGCTTATTGTTCTTCTTCTCTTATCTTTCTCATTTTTTTGTTGTTGTTATAATACAAACGAAATTGTGACAGAGAATAAATAAAACAGATGGTCGAATGAATGCACGGTTTGACTATCGTCAAGTCGCTCCTAGTGCGAGTGTTTCTTTTAGCTCATGGACTAGTTTGTTCTTGGCGTGTTATTGATACAAGTGATAATCAATATTGTTGGATTATTCTTATAGGTCTTGGCTTTTTACTTGTTGAAACAGGCATTGTTATTTGGCTTCGAAATGGACATGAATTTAAAGTGTATGTATATCAGATAGATTTATCATAGAAATTTATTTTTATATGTTTAGTATTGCTTTTTGTATCATATTTTATTTGGCATGTACAACACCATCATTATGGATAATTCATATTGAAACAGCAAATAGAAAATTGTATCGTCTTGCTGAAAATAAACTTAATGCTCGAGCAGCTGTACCATCTGTTCATCTTCGACAACAACAACAATTTATTTCTAATAATTCAGCATCTACAATATCACGTTTAATATCAAGTACAACTCCACTTATTCTAACTATAGGACATGTTGAATGTCATGATAAAGCATGGTATTATATGGATGAACAACGTTGGCTTGATGCAATACAAGAAACTATGCTTGTTGTTTTAGCAATATGTCGTTTATTGTTAAGTCGTGAACATATGAGTGTTGAAAAAAGTGGCATTATTTTAATGATAACAATAATTAATGGTGCTGATCTATTAGCTATGTCACATTCATTACAATATCATGATGTTATCATTGAACGTCTTTGGATGTATATTGGTTTAGCTCTTCTAACAATTGGTTTATTTCAAATGGCATTTATTGATACAGATGGTTTAACACCAACATCAAATCCAAATTCAAAGAATAAAGTTAAAAAACGAATGCATTTTCTTCAAGATCAAAATTTATGTCCACTTTTTCGAGTAAAAATCTATATACAATTATTTAATTGTTAACTTTTCTTTTGAAATTTTATAGACTTTATTTATTCATGATGGTCTTCTTCTATTATATCGAACTTTATTAGCTGCAAAAGTTCGATGTAGTAAACCAACAATCATCTTTTATATGGCAAAAAATGTTCTAATGATTGCAATACAATGCTATCGTGCTTATCATATATCCAAAGAACATGATAAAAAGAAAGCATTTGCTGCATATGAACATTTAATACGTTCGTCATCGATATCAAGAAAATATCGTCATCCATTCTATGGTTTAGAACATGATCGTTTAGGTAAACAACAACAACAACGATTATTACATCGAACTCTTCGTCGTCCAACATCAATAATTCATCGACGAAAAGCAAAAACACCACGAGCATTACATACTTTTTCTAACAACTCGATATCATATCCATTTGCACGACGACGAAATGATGGTGGTCGTGCACGTACAGCATTTGCTCTCTATGGTCTACCGTTTCGTGGACCGCAAGCTCCTCGACCGGCAACAATATCTTCAAGTGGAAGTCTTGTTGCCAAAGCTTTTGTTCATTAAATAAAAAGAAAAAAAAAGGAGAATTTTTCAATTTACCAAGTTCATGTTTTTGTGTTATTAATTGTGTAATTGTCCAACGCAAACCCGAAAGAAACGAAGCAACCATAATAAGAAGAAAACCAAATGCATGGAATTCTGTATAATGATATGTAAAAAGAAATAAACCACAGGCAATTAAAATAACAACTCCAATTAAAGAACAACGCTAAAATAAAACAAAAATTTTCATAGAAAAAAAATTTCAAATGAGAAATCAACTTACAAATCGTTCGAGACCGAATATTATACCAAATAATAGAATGTAAATAATTACAGTTGATTTGCACATAACTAAAAATAGTTTAGATCGAAATAAATTTATTAATTGAAGTCTAATACTTACTATATAGCGAAATAGTTATATATTGCAAGGACCAATTGGATAGACTGATATCAAGTGAAGCGGTGATACCTAAATATATAAAAATTTATTACAATATACAATTAAAAACAACTGTAATATACCAGTTGGAGCAACTTTTCGCCATAAAGTAGGCCATGTTAATTTAATACGTTCCCTATCATTATTTTGATGTTGTCCGCAAATAGTTGTACAACATGAACAAAAACAAAATCGATGTAAAAACCATCGAATAATAGCAGCGAATATAAATTTAATTGCCATATGTAACGTTGTGATTGAAAGTGGAAATTGATAGTCACGAAATAATTGACGATTAAAAAATGTCAATGATATTGAGCAACACCAATAGAATAAAATAAAACACAGAACTTTGAGCATTGTTAAGAATGTATTAAATCGAGAAGATGATCGATATCCATTATGATAATCCATCATATTCTTTCGAGACATTGCACTTGTTTTCAATAATAATAATAAAAAAAAATTAGATTTGTACACAAAACGAAAAAAAAAATGAAAAGATATAACAAAATCTAAAATGAGAGACAGATGGTTTTGATGATAGTTTCTAAAGAATAATTGACTAAGGATGTGCAAGGTCTTCTCTATATGCTTGTGTATGAAAATATACATTAATCTATTGTGTTTCTAAAATGAATATCGTTAGATATGTTATAAAATATTTTCAATTCTGTTCTAAATTTCGAACTGAAATTGTTTATTAATTGAAGTTAATGGTATGCTAAGAATTATTTCTATAGTATTTAAAACAAAAATATTTCGTTAGTTTATTGAAATTTAACTACCAACCTCAGTAAACAGATATCTAAATAGACAAAATGATTATTTTGTTTTAAATGACATTTTTACGCCGTCGAAATAATAGGTTTCGAACATTCGTAATAGATAAATATTAAGAGGCCTGGTTCTTATCTCTTTTTCTTCTAGAGCAAAAAAATTATGAAAACGAAAGGGTAAGGTCAGAGACAAAGAAGCTTAAAGACATAAGAATCCCGCTAATAGCAGAACAAAAAATAGACATCGTGCATATTTACATTATCCCAGTAAACACATTTTTTTTCGAAATTTACATTCCATAAAAATATACATTCATATTTCATCTTGTTTTATTTTTATTTCTCGTTATCTTATTATTATAATGAACACAAAGACACACAATATATATATATATATGTAAGAAGGAATAACAAAATGGACAAAAAATAAAGAATAGAATAGATATACATTTTTCATATTGTGGCTTCTTTTATAAAGTATATTAAATGTGCGCATTAATAAGAAAAGAAAAAGAATATCGGTATCTAAATAAGAACAAGCATGATGAACTAAAACAAAAAAAACAAACCAAAGAGTTTAGAGCACCATTAAACAAGCATAATAATCAAGCACAAGCAATTAAGCGCAAAAAGATAGAGAGAGAGAAAACTGTTAAAAAAAGATGTAATATTATTTTGAACAATAATAATTATTATTATTATTAGAAAGAGTAATAAAAAACGTTTGCATATCATAATCGATCATATAAATGGAGACAAGAGAAAAGCAATAGAAATATTGGAATGTACACATCAACAGAATAGATTGACTTGTTCAATTATTCGACGATACGTACGAGGTGTATAAGGCGGAGGTTGTGATGATACTAAAAAGAATAAAAATAGAATTGAATACAGTATGTTTTTTTTTATTTGCTAGAGAAGAAGCACACAAATAGATGTAAGCATTGAATTAGAACAAGTTAGCGAGACACAATCTTACTTGGGAATGTAAGAAAAATAGTTTTTTTTTTATAAATCTGGAAGTTAAATTGTAAAAGAAAAGAACAAGAATTTGTAAGATTTATTTACTTGTTGTAGTATTTGTTGATGTTAGTACTTTTTTATCAACAGGTGTCATTACAGGAAGTGTTGTCGTTAACATACGTGCTCGCTCTTTCACGGATAACCCTAGATAAAAAGAAATTGATTGATTTTAGATGGAAAAAATTCAAGTAAAAAAGAATACGTACGTTTATACTGTTCATTTTGATCGTCAGTATGAGGTGTTGATGGAGTAGAAGCAGTAGCAGGTACGTCAACAGTACTATTATTAACAGTATCTGATGTAGTTGCAGTAGTTGTAGTTTCTATTGAGGGTGAATTAACTCCATGAGGAACTACAATATAGAATAGAAACAAGGATGGGTGTGGAAATTTTATTTTACCTTTTTTCTCCGCATGATAATGTCTTAATTTAATTGGTGGTGCGTCAGTATTTGGATCAAGAATGGGAAGTACTCGAGTACCACCTGTTACTTTGCCTGTTCGAGCTAATACTGGTGGTATTGATGATGATGAAATTGATTCTACGGAATTTGTTATATTCTTGTGTTCAAGAGTACTTGATGGTAATAATGATGAATATAAACTTGTTGACATAGAGGGCTTTGTTTGGGATGATCCATTTGATGAATCTGAATTAAATATTTGTGGTGAATCATTATTTGCTAAAGTCATTGATTTTGACATAGAATTAATTGCTGAGGGACGAGGTTGAGGTATTGGTATATGTTGAAGATTTTTATTTGTTATTACAATTGATTCATCATTTGTTGTTTTCGATGGTTTCAATGCTGATTTAAGAAATTTTGTAATTGCTCTAAATATGTATGGAATTATAAATAACAAGGAAAATGCAAACAAATATTCATGCTATAAATTCTATTATATATTTTTAATTCTCATAAAGTCACACCGCAAGTTCATGCATATATTTCACAAACTTTTTTATTTTGTTTGGTTTTCTATGAAAGATGAAAGTTTTAATTTGCCTGACAGTTTTAAATGAATAAAAAATTAATTCTAGAACTTATAACGTACGGTGTTGCTGATTCTGTTATCTGTGAATCAATAGATGGATTTATTTGTGGTTCACTTGATGCTTGAAGATGTATATCTCCAATACTATTATCATCATTATCATCGGTTAAAAGACCACCATCAGATGAACTATTATCATGTGTTGTACCATTCGTTGATCGTTTTACTGGTCGTCGAACATTACTACGACGAGGACGATCCTTACCTAAATAAAAAAACTATTCGAAAAAAATAAAATCAAGATTTTTTATTAATTACCTGGATGAACTAATTTCACAGTTGGTTCAATAGCAACATCAAAATTATTATCTTGTACTGGAGTGATCGAAGTTGAAGTTACAGTTCGTTTTTTAGCAGGTAATGCAGGTGGTATATCTTTTTGTTGTTCTTTCTGTTGTTCTTGTTCAACTAAATCAAGTAGATCATGTTCAATAAGATCACCTTCATCTTCAATTGATAATTCTTTTGTTTTAATTTGTTGTGAAACATGTACATTGCCATAGATTGGATCAATTATAGATGACATAGGTTCTTGGTCAGTAGTATTAACTAGGAGAGATTTACGCCAATCAGAAGCTAATGGTTTAGGTGAAGCAGGAGTTGGACCTTTATTATTTTGTGTAGATGTTGTTAAACGATTATCTTTCTCATTTATATTACGAGCTAAAGATCGAGTTGATTTTGGTGAAGGATCTTTAATTATTTTCGAATAAGTTTTATTTTTTATATTAAAATCGTTTCTTACCTGTAACACTTTCATTGGAATCAGCATTTTTTATTTGTCGATTACGATTTAAAGAACGATCAAGAGCTAATATTGAAGAAAATATTATTGAAAATAATGAATAAATTCAGTGTAAAGACATACTAGATGGTGATGTATGTAGTTGTCCATCTGCTAGCATTGATCCTTGTTGAGCATTATTTGAAGGGAACATACGTTTTTCCTAAATGATTAAATTAGTTATAGAATACGAATAAAACATAAAATATTATTTTCTCAGATTCTATTTATAGACGCATGAAGGAGACAAAAATGTAATAAAATGTATAATCAAAATAATTGTACATGTTATTATTTCCGCCTAACTACAGTAAACTATTGAATGACTATGAGATATAAAAATCTTACTAATTGTTTTTGCATATCTAAAACTGTATCACTTGTTGTATCATATGCTCGTTTTTGTAAACATGTCGCTACATCAATATAACATTGCCGTGAATATGCTATAAATCTATTTGGTATTTCTTTATTTAGTAATTGATCAATATTATCATTTGAATTAGCGAAAAATATTCGAACTTGTTCTTGAAGTTTCTAAATAAATCAAAACGAGAACGTTTATTTTTTATAAGAAGAAAAAATATGAAATATACATCATCATAATTAATTGTTGTTTGTTCTTTGAATAGTTGATAGAATTTTCTTGATAAACGTTCGTTTTTTTCAATAAATTTTTGTTTAAATATTTGACACATTTCATTCCATTCATCTTTCAATTGTTCTTCTTCGTCAATATATGATTGATATAATTGAGATGAAATTTTTGGTATATTAATTGTTCGTAATAAAATTGAATTTAAATCACTATTATTTGTTGTTGTTGGAGTATTATTATTGTTTATTCTATTTGAACATGATGAAATATAATCAAGTGATGCTTGATTTCCAATTAATTGTTGTTGATTTTCCCATGATGAATTTATTTCTCGAGTTAAATTAGCTGCAGTTGTTAGAAGTAAAGAATCAGGAGGAATTAAATCATTTTTTTGTTGTTGGTTTCTTGTACAAATTAAATCAAGCTACGTAATTCAAAAAATGATTATAGATTAAAAAGAAAACAATTGTATTACTTTATTCATTAATATTTGTACTTTTTCCATTCGTTCCTTTTCAGTTGTTTTCATTAGAATTATATCCGTTATTGGTATATGAAAATATTGGATGGTATGATTTCTAAAATTTAATTAAAAATGAGAATGAGAAATTTATTATTAAAGCTTTTGAGATGTCTTAAATAAATACGTGTTATTAATCAAAATGTAAAATGATTGATCATTTCAAAATAAATCTCGAAGTTTTATTATACTCAGAGTCGACCAGCTGCGTCTAATACGCACTCAGAAATATTCCATACTCAACTAGTGTTTCTGTAAGAAAATATATACAATTTAATTCTAGAAAAAGAAATGCTTCACAACAGTGGCCAATTTAGGAGGGATGATGAGGGCGGTCGCCGCCCCCGCCGGAAAACTTTTTTGATATTTTACAGTAAAAATGCACGAAAACATAGATTCGCACTACTTCGATTGGATCCAAAAAATAGTTTTTAGCTGAAATCGCCTCTCCTTTCCAAAATCCTAGATCCGCCACTGCTCCACAACTCATTTAAACTCGTATAGAAGACAACATGAAGATTAACCTATTTAGTCTTGCCATGCTTAAGTTTACTATGAAACCAATAGATAATATACGATAGTTATACACTCATTCTTTGAGTTGCTGTTGTTCATCAAAAGACTTAACTTCACTTTGAACCTTTGATCAGTTTACTCTGTCTATTGTTGCATGACTAGAGAAGAGTTTATTCATCTTTAACATTCAATAAATCGATTTTGTTATTAAATTTATATGGTATAAACAATATTATATAACTATTCTCACACACATACTCATAAGTCATTCTAATATTCATTAAAAATAAATCCTTTGATCTTTTTCAAATTCCCTACATTAACTTTCTCATGTAATATTTTCATCACGCAATTTTGAATATAAATAAACTTACTCTTCCATTGCATTAACAATATCTTCGAAACTATTTAAAGAAAGAAGATTTCGATCAAAATATATTGTATGTAAATGAGAATTCATTTGTAATATATGTGTTATTACACGAGCACCTGTATCACCCATTAGATTTCCTCTATTAATAATACAATAAATAAATAATATTATAATTTTTATGTGTAATTTATTCATACCGAATATCAAGTATTTTAAGCGATGCATTATTTGTTAAAGCTAGAAGAAAATCTATTGTATTTTCTTTCAATTTTGAGTCCGCTATTGATAAACATTCAAGATCCTTAAAAAGAAAATATTCATAATTAAATATATAATTTATTGTTTTTCATACACTGTCTAAGACAAGATCTTTCATTGCACTAATTGTTCGCTGCATATTTCTATAAAGATAATAATTAATCAGATAAATATATATATATGACTTATAATAATTTACTTGTGTTTTATATTATTAAAATTTCTTCCTAGATAAAGTGATTTCAATTTTCGATTTTTCTTTAATTCGCCTAATAGAAATGAAATTTCATTGTCCACATCTAAATAAATAAGAAATAATTTTTAAGTTAAAGTACTTTTGTTAATTTCATTATACTGAAAGATGTATAAATTATATAGTAGTCCGTGAGTTTAAAAAAATGTCTACGAGAAACTATTTAATATTGATACATTTAAGTATTTCTTAAAGGGTCAAATTTACGACAACTTATAACTATATGCTTAATTTTCTTAAGCATCATTAACCGACTGAGTACAGTCCAGAGTATCTATTAGAGCAATCAAAAACAGATGATTAGAGTTTCTCGCGAAAACTTAGATATCCGTAAACTCCAAATTCTGAAGCATACTTTACTTGACCTTCTTAAAGCTATTCTTGATTAAATAAAACTAATCTAAATTTAGCCCATATGAGATCGTTGCTGAATTTTGTTAATTAAAAATCTTTTTCTTACCGCATCCGCTAATATCCAATGATGTTAAACTTGGAATTGTTGCAAATCTTGGTGCATATTCATGAATAAATGTTTCAAGTGGATTACCCGAAAGACGTAAATCAAGTTTATTTAGAAAAACATTTGAATGAAGTCCATCACATAATTCTCTATTAAATCGAAATAAATATTTTAAAAAAATCTCATCTCAATTTATTCGTTATTTTTACTTAAGAAAATCAATCGATAAATTTGCATTTGATATTTGAAGAATTTCTAATGTTTGATTATTAGTAAAAAATAATCTTACACCACCAGTTGTTGTTGGTAAAATTAAAGATTTAATCGATGTTATAAATAATCGACGAAGTTTACATGATGTTGTTGCTAACGAATGGAAAAACTTAAGGAAAGAACAAAAACGTAATTATATACAAATCTATATTCGTTTTTTTACCGATTCAAGACTAAATTCAATATCACTTAAATGTAATTCTTCTAATATATTTTCATTATTTTGAAATAAAATTGTTATACACTAGAAAAATGAAAAAATATTACTTTAATTTTCGATTTTGTTTTATTCTTTCACATACATTTTCTTCTTTTATTCGATTTCCTGATAGATTAAGACACTTAAGATTTTTTAATAAATTAGTATTATTTATTAATGCTGCATTAAATACATGTAAACTTTTATGTGTTAGTGAACATGATTGTAAATTTATAGATGTAATTGGTGATTTACATTGTTGCAATGATGAGCTTAATGCGATTAAACCTAAAAATTAAATAATAAATTTTATTATCTTATAAGATAATAATATTTACCTTTATCTTCAAGTGTATTATGCGATAAATCAATAGTTTCGATATGACTAATAGATAATGCGTGAGTGAAACGGGTACAAAAATCACTAAAATATTCAAACGTATATTCTTTTTATGAATTTAATGAATGTTCATACTGTCTAAGGCCACAATTGACTAAACGTAAATCTCGTATTGTTTTAGATAAACGAATGACTGTACAAAGTTCATCAATATTTTCGGATGTCTAAAAAAATATATAAACATATAAATTATTTTCTTTTGTTCAACTAACTAGTTTTGTATTTTCGATTGTTATTTTTGTAAACCAATCATTATAACGTAAAGCACAAATAATAGGCAACCAGTCTTTTTGAGAGAGTGATTCAAATTCTCGAAATGTAAATTCATGTGATATTCGATGTGCAAATACTGTATCAACAAGCTAAATAAAGACAAGGTATTTCAATAAAAATATTTCTTTAAAACTTACATTATACACTGCTTTATTGCATGGTATCTGATAAAAATCACAAGCACATTCATAACGTAAAGAAAAACCTCCACAAGGACGTAATTCACTAGACATTATATTTATATCTTGACAATATTCATTTGATAAACGTAATAATTTCTCATATTCATTCTCAGGTCGAATTTCCACACTAAAAACAAAATATTTCTTTTTTTTATAAGATCAATATTTTGTTAATAAATATTTACATTGCTTGTAGTTTATGAGGAAAAATTGCATGTAAATTTCGAATAAGTACAATAAGAAATGGTTGTAATGATGATTTATCATGAAGACCATATAAAGTATGAGTTTGTTTTTCATCTGTTTCGATTAAAATCTGAAATTACAAGAATAAAATTTATTTTTCCCAAAAATTGATCAAATCTTACATGAGAATCAGATATACAATCGATTAATTTAATTGAAAGAATATTAAATTGTGATTCAATCTAAATAAATAACAATACAAAAAGAAAAATATACATCAATCGAAATTATACTTTAACAGGAGTTTTAATTGAACCGATATAAACTCGAACGGCATCCATACACTAAATGTATATAATAGAATTATTCAGCTTAACTTGTAGTTTTTTTGTTTACCAGAAGTCTTTCTTCAACTTTTTCACCTTTGGTTCCATAGCGAATACGACCATTAAAATAAAACGATGAACATTTAGTTACATTGCGAGCATTGCCTAAAGGCATCATTAATTATACATAAAAAAATAAATAAATGCTTTTTTTATTATTCTTACCGACTAATTCGGCAAAATCGTCTCGTTCACTCATCTAAATAATCATGTATTAATAGAAAATTAAAATATTTCTTTAAAACAATAGAAACATACACAACCGACTTTACACCACATTGAAAAATAACATTCATGACATTTAAAATAACAATAATTGTACTGTGAAAATAAACATCTTGAATAAAAAAACAATGCATATTTAGTTTGTCATTTAATATATGAAAATTAAGAATCTATTTAACATACCTGATCTATAAATCATTGACAAGAATGCAGATAAGTAAAGAAATCGGTCAACAAACAAATGAAACAAGTATGAAACGAATCATAGGATAGATAAGTAGTGTAGAACAAAACAAAACATGTGTGTGCTAAACATGATGAGTCATCATTAAACCACACCCACTCTCTTTTATTTAAAATACCAGCGACATCTTTATCAAAAGATATGATATCAAAAAATTCATATTTTAGTTCACTTTCTCAAGTTAATCAAAATATATTTTATATAAATTTGAATAGAATTATCTTATAAGAAACTATAAGATGTACTTTCACGCACTCTCTTGGTAAAGAAACACTATAGCTATCAAGAAAGTTACTTTGAATAAAACAGTAAATCTGCTCTCTAGTTCCACACTCCAGTAGTATATCATGAACTTCGTCATTTCCACGCAATTCTTTTTAAAGGACTCATCTAAAGTTTAAAACGTGTAGGATGTATCATGGTTTGCTGTATTTTGACCAAAAAAGGTAATAGACTGAGTCTTCGCAAGAGGAATGACTGTTTGCATTTCTTTTACTATTGACAGAGTAATATAACAAAAAAAAGATAAAGACTATTATAAAATATTATCATTGTCCTTACTGAAAACTAGCAAATGCAAACGATATATGAAAAAGTATATTAATATATCTGAATATAGATGCAACCATTATTTTTAATTGTGCGTGGACAGTTTGGTTTATTATCCTTCTCTTCCGAATTTGACCGTAGAAATTAATTTTCAACAAAAACTTTCTCGTTATAAAAAAATTTATTCATTTCTATAAATCAACTTTCTATTCTTTATATTATACATTATTCTTCATTATAAAAAAGACATTCAAAATAAAATAACTATTAAACGTGTGCATTTCGTTCATATTAAACTGGCTCAAATCTATTCGTTGCTGATAATAGTCCAACGCCTACATCAGAATTTTGTTTTTTTGGTTTTCGTTTTAAATCTACTGTTGAATCAGTTGTATCAACAGCTGCGAATGAACGTGAAGTTGTTGCATCAAATGGTTGTGCATTCGATGGTTTTATTCGAAATTGATAAAATTCATCTTCAGCACGTGTAGCATCAATTTCACCATATTTCATTACATAAACTGTCCATAATTGTTCTAAAACTTCTTGAACAATAAAATCAGATGCATTTGCTGCTAATAAACGTATAAAAAAATAACCATCACCTTCTAAATATTCTGTTAAAAATTGTTTAACAAGTGCTTTATGTACATGATCTCCAATTTCGCGTGTAGCATGTTTAAAATCAAAACGAAAACGAGGAATTTCGGGTCGAGATGTACGTGCAAGACGAGTATGTATAAATTCATATTGTCGACTAGACGAACCAAGACGTATAGACCACGAAACTAATGCATATACATTGCATATTAATACAAAAACATACCAAATCCATAATAATGTAAATATTTGCTAAAATAAGAAAACAAAAACAAAAATAACATGTATTCTGTATATAAAAGGATACAATTTCAAGATATAGGGTTATCGAAGATTCTATTGAAACTTAAATAATAAATTTTGATGAGAATTTTCGAAATCATCAGAAGTAAGTATTTATGCAGAAATATCTTAGAAATAAGACGCATGATATTCCTCAGATTAGAAATGAATATAAGATTTATCATGTGACCTGTAGCTAATGTATGCAATAGAATAAATAAGAAAACTTTTTCTCCTAACATTGCCTTATGAAATAAAAACACAAACTAGAGGTGGTGGCTTGGCATTAAAACTGAAAATAATGCATTGATTTATTCCTCAACGAAAGTTAATTAATGCTGAATTCTTGGAATTAAAAGACAATTTAACGTATAAATCGACATTAAATGTTTCCTTTACAATAATAAACCTGTGCATTATTTTCATATTAATGCTAAGCCATCACCCCTAACACAAACATTATACACTTAAATTTAGAGTAAATGAAAATCTACTTTATTCTAACGTTGTATAAATATATAATTAGTACTTAACATGATCTATTTGAAAATATCAGAATTCAAATAAAATAAAGTAACGTGACTGATTTTATTCATCTTTAATAAACAATCTTCTGTTTTATTCTTAAACGAAGATTTTTAAGAAATATATTTCAAAGTTTATGCGAATATTGAATGAGGCAAATCATATGCTATAAATAACTTTAGTTACAATTTCATGATTAATTTTATGTTTGCATATAGGGACGGTGCATTAGCATTAGAGTTAAGAAAATGCTGATACTTTTGTATTAAAATTAGTCACATACTTAATACTCTTGGTATCAGTATTAGACTAACACTTAATGCTTTCGTTTTAGAATTAATTTAGCAACAGCATTTTCAAAACAGAACACTTCTTTACTGTTCTGAGAATCATCTTCCCAAAAAAAGAACGTTTTTGTTCTGTTTCTAGGAACCAAAACTGTTAGCATTACCGCTAATGTTAAATTAATTCTAATGTGACAGTACTAAGTGTTAGTCTAATACTAATACCAAGAGTATTAAGTGTTAGACTAACTACTCTACAAAAATATTAGAATTAAGTCTTAAATAATGCAATGCTAAGTCACTACCCCTACTTGCATACAAAATAATATGATTATATAGTTTGATAGTAATTAGGAGGATTATCAATAAAAATTTTCCTTTAAGAAAATACACTACAGTAATAGTAGAGAACTTGATATTTAATACCTCAGTATAATTTAACTACTCACAATTACTTATATTTCAATTATCATGATAATCATTCAAATGTATGATTTTCAATCTTCTGAAAGCTATAAGACTATTTCTAATAAAATAACTATTTGATCTTGTTATTCTATACCTGATTGAAAAGATTAACAGTTAATACACATTGAACAGTAATTCTTTGCATTGGTTCTCCACCACGTAATGGTTCACGTACAAAAAAATCACAGAATGTTTCTCTTGGAAAATATTTTGATTCCGGTTGATTGAGACCATGTCGAAATAATTTCACACTTTCATAACCAAATCTTAAAAAATTTGTACCAAGGAAAACACTAAGTAACCAAATTTGGAATATAACATTGAATATATAACAAATTCTAATAATAAATAGAAAGATTATATAAATAAATAAATAAATAAATATTTAACATACTTAATAAATATATAAAGTGTAATAAAATAATTTCCTAAAAATTTTCCAGTCATACAACAAAGTAATTGAAAAAATTTTTGTATTAATGATCTTTGTCGTTTTTCTGCATCGCTATGTCGACGTGCATCATCAACATACATATCAATTGTATCAACCATATATTTTATTAATTGATCACGATCATCAAAATCTTTTACTGTTTTAGTTTCACCAGCTGCATCAATTATATCAAGAAGATCAATACCTGAACGAACACTTAATGTACGCCAAAATAAACGTGGAAGATAAAAAAATAATGCCATCAATAAAATAATAAATGGTGTCCATTGATAATAATTCAACACACGAGCTTTCCTATAAAATATAAACGAAGATAAATCTAGTCAAATTCTTTCTTTTCAATTAGAATTTATTATTTTAATAAAAATTAAAATAACCTTTCATTTATTGAATTTGGTATTTGTTCATTCGTATCTAATTGATATGTATTCGTAATAAAACAAATATAGTTCGTATACTTAATATATGCTGAATGAAAATTAGCTCGATTCCAGCAAGATATTAATGATGTTATATTCATAAATAAACGTGAAGCTGATATAACAGCAAGTGCAATAAGTAGATAAACAGTATATTTTCTATTAAGACGATCAATATCATCATCATCCGATGCTTGAGTATTAAATAAAATTGTAATAAAAAATGTTGACATATACAGATGATGATCCATTTTTCTAATCTCGAATTTGACTTATGATGATAGAGGAAAAAAAGAAAGTAATACTCCGAATTAAACAACAAATAAGTAATATAAGCAAAAGCACCAGATGGGGAATTCTTTACTACTCTGTTACTTTTATATTTATATATTTTTTATCGAATGATGATGTTGATGTGTGAGTCTAACATGGCGAAGAATTGATCAATTGGGACTACACTGAGAAGTCAAAGAGAAGAAAAAAAGGAGAAAAAAAAGCCCGGTAACATACAACTCAAGGACAATTTACATAAAATAGTTTAATACTAACAAGAACACATAATATTTCCAGATAGACATGTCTGAAAAAAAATTTCTGCACTCATGATAAACACACTAGATAAATGTTGCAAGTTCATATAGACAAAGCAAACTTAAAAATTTTATATTAGATTTGCGAATGGTTGGTTGGTTTTATAGAAATTTTAATAGATCTATATATATAGAGAGAGAGAAAGAGATAGATAGATATATATGAGAACTCAAATAAATGATGACTAGAATTTTCTCATGAGATCTATTTATATAAAATAAGCTATTAGTGATCTGTCAAATAGAATATATTTCTTATCATATTGTACACTATTCTATATTCTGTATGCATTGCTATTAATTCCAGTAAGCTATTTGCATTTATTTATTTATTTATTTATTTTTTCATTAATAGGAAAAACAAACTATTCTAGTAGCAACGATTTGCTTCTTCAAATATTTTTATTATTACTGTCAGGATGGTGTCATATGAAAATTTATTTTTATCACTATAAGTTAGAAGAGACTCTTTTTTTCTTACAGAAAGATAAGTTCGAATTACTTAAGCTTTAAATTACAGAGAAAAAGATTAGTTTTTAAACATGAGAAATTTAACAAATGATTAATCAACTTATCAGTAAAAGAGTTTTAAGGCTGAAATATCGTATATCTTGTGAATCTTAGAGAACTATAGATATCATCTTAGCAGAGAAATGTCATTATGAGTCGAAATATTCTCTTCACACATAGGTATGTTTATGAGAATTCTAACAAGTGTTCTTGAAAAGGTGTTATTCTAAGTATCATTAATTATAATATTCCGTAACTGCTAGACTAGTGAGCATCAAAGTAATTGTCATGTGTTATTATACTAAATACTCATTTCTCCTATCTATGATAATGATTCTAACCTAAATTTTATTTACTGAGATTTTCTTCAAGTATAAGTGATGCTTTGTGTTAAATGTCAAGAAAGCAACTAGACTAATATGAATAAATTGAGGGAACTTATCGCACACATACATGTAAGAAACAGAAAAAACAAGTGAAGAGTAATGCGTATACTTGTGGAATAGTCTTTCGTTTTTCTATAACTTATATTTTCCCAGATGGTATCTGTTTTTTCTAATAGGATGATCTCTATAGATATAATAGTCAAAACACTTGATCTTCTTTGTAATAGACAACAACTACGAACTTTTTTCTATGATAGATAGAGTTTACTAGAACAAATAAAATTTGAATTTTATAATGAATGATCATCTGTCAATAGTTATATTCAATAGAACCGTGAACAATTCTTTCTTAGTGTTACATAGATTGATGAAAGAATAATAAGTCAGATATTTTTCACTCGAATTCATATACACGTACGAAATAGATAATTGGAGATCGGACAATAAGTAAATTATCTATTCCGCCATATGATTTATATGCTTCTATTACGCAAGTCGAATAGTAATATTATAATTATTATGAATAGTCATTGATTGCAATTCATTTCGTTCTTAGTCTAATTATTAATACCAAATATTATATTTATTTACAAATGAATTCTTTCTAATGATATATTCTCTTAGAAGTACAATACGCACTAATTATTTTCGTAAGCATATAAAAGTATTCGTTAAAAAATTTATTTATTATTACCCTAAAACTTACCATCAACGTTTTTGTATAAAAATTCTCTACGGTATATTTATAAATCATAACTTGTTATTAGTATATATTAGCCATTCAAATCCCATATGGTTAGCATATGATCAAGTTGAACCCACGGGTGTAGCTATGAAATATATTCCAAATCAAAACAGTAACAGAGAACGATGTTTTCTTTCTTTTATTTTATAATTTTTTTATTTAATTACATACAACTACATATGACTCTTTCTTTTTATGACAATTTAGAGACATTGAAATTTTTCGTTTTCAATCTCATCGTCATTTGACTACTAGAGAAACATTTTTTTTTGTCTATGAATAAAATATATGTTTATAAATTCAATCCTTTAAGTGACACTATGTTTAGTATATATGAATAGCTGTAATTATTTTTACTGCACATTACTATTGGTATCCGCTAATTACTAGAGAATCACATTTTTGTAATTCAAAAGAAGCAATAGTAATATTTAACATATAGAACAGCGAATAAAATTTCTTCTGATGTAACAAATATGTCTGTTTAATATAAAAGTCATTTTCTTCTTCTGGTAATTAGAAAATATATATACAAGAGTGCACAGCTGATAACGTAATATTTTCTTTAATAAAGTATGAATCATTATATTCCATAACTATACAAAAAATATTCCTTTCATAGACCGTATAGGTTACTTCTATTACAGAAACTATACCATTCTCCTTTTTAAGTGTCATAAATATCACGTACACGTCTACTATTACAGACGAGAATTACATACATCGATTAAGTAATTTCTGTCACAACAGAATCTAGTATAAAACAATCAATAAATCTGACGGTTTTTCTTTTAGTATAATAAAATATCTATTTTAAATTTCTTACCGATCTTCAAGAATGTGTGGTATTGTTTGATTTCTATCAATATAATAAGTTGATGATATATAACATATTTGATTTGTATATTCAACATAAGGTTTAATAAAATTTGCTCGATTCCAACATTCAATTCGATCATCATCAAACTGTTTCGACGCCGTTATCGTCGAAAATAGTACTAGTAGAGCCACTGTATATTTATAATTTATCATATCATATCCATCATCATCCGAGCGTAATGATGATAGAAGTACGGTCGGTACGAGTGTTATTAAATATAGAAGATCGACCATAATTTTGGTATGTTTTTTTTACCAATTACAATCAATTTCTTATCAAAAAAATCATCTAAAATAGATTCAACAAGATTGTGTTTATGTCATGATCATATTTACTATTAAATTCTTGCTAATATTTGTATAATGTCGATGCAAAAAAGGAGAAGAAAAAAAGCACTTTTTGTTCGGTTTTTGTGTCAAGTGACACTTATACATAAAATTTTGTCGATAGATGAATAAATATTAATTTCGCCTTTCAAACTAAAATATCAAAAAAAAGAAACTTATCTTACTCATCATTTTTTCAAAAAAATGTGATGATTAATTGTATACGTATTGTCTACTACCAAATAGAACAACAAACATACACATACATATATATATATACAGCTATGATGTTATTGATTATTACAGTTTACTATCGTTCTGATGCATCATTTTTCAGTATAGAGAAAAAAAACGACGTTGGTATATATAGAGAGAGAGGAAAAAAAAGAAAAAAAAAATGAAGGGGAACTGTTCTTTCTACTATTGCTTTGTACTATAGCTGCGTCTGCCTTTAGCTTATATGTATGTCTGTTATCGGTGTATAAAGAACACATTGAGAAAAAGCACGAGAGAAGACGATAAAAGAATAACAAGAAACGCGAGAATAGAGATGTTATATAGCGATGTTTAGTTACATATATTTATTTAGACAGTTCAGTCTAAAGTTAAATCTGATTAGTTTAAGTAGGATTCTGTTAAATATAAGAAGAATCTTATTGAAATAAATCCATTAGTTTACTTCTTCTTTTTTTTTCATTGTGAATAAACCTCTTGTTTGAGCTATAAATTATTCTTTATATAGTTTCAAAAGGATTAAATTATTCTGAATAGCATGAATAAATCTAAGCAAGCAACGATTACGTACATAATTGTATAAAGAATTTAAGTTTGTGAATTATTAATGGTATCACGAGCTTCTCTCAGTAGAACAAACATGACGAAGACAAAAAATCTCACTATTACATGTTCAACATGCTTTCATCGACGTCGGCACATTTTAATAATGATGCATCTTTTAATCAGTTGTATATCTATCCATAAAAAAAAATAGTTGTCAGCTCAGAATGACTTTTCTATTCTAAGTACAAAATGACTTAGTGTGCTATTCTCGTCCCCATTTCCTTTTGTCTAATCTTATAAGGTTACGTCATTTTCCTTCTTCTTTCTCGAAAATAAGATATTCCCATCTGTATGACATAATAATTTCAGCAATTGTTTCTTTCAATTGATGACTATGCATCCAGTGACAGAAAAGATAGATGAGATTTCTCGGATCAATAAAGACGAGAAAGAAAATGATTTACAACATACACATAAGCTTCTCATTTTCCTAATAAGAAAAATCTTGCATATAAAATATTTCCTTGACCATTCAAGATATTATTTTACATGGAGAATAGTCTTTATTCATTCAAAAAGCAAAAATCTTGAATTTCTAATATACATTGATCATGTCAAAATTTAGATGTCATTTTATTCATTGATCATATGAGATTCATAATAAGTAAGAAAAAAAACTAAGTTACAACTGAAATATCCAAAAAACAAACAAACAAACAAACAAAAATGAGAAAAAGAAAAAGAAATCTATGACATGACAGGCAAAAAAAGAAAATCATATTCATTTATTTATTCATTGATTACAAAGAACGTACAATAATGTCACTGTGATTATCATTATCATCTTCATCAGCATAATCATTACTTGTTGTATCATCAATTAAACGTAGTTGATAGGATGAAGTATTTTGATTTGGATGATGTTGATGATGATGTATCTGAGAATTACTTTCAGTCATTGATGAAAAACAACCTGATGTTGATGAACGACATTCACCAGCATCGGAACCTTCGTATGATAATGATGTTGGTGGTTCAATATGATTTAATACACAATCAAGAATGCCACGTGCCTAAACAATAATAAATGTCAATTAGTATAAAATAAAGATTTGTTTAGTTACCGTTTCTGATGTTGTTTCATTAGAAAACCATATGGTTGGTTGTTCTTTATTGTTATCCAATAATAATTCATTTAAACGTGAATGAATATCACGGAAATTGATACGATTTTCAGGTATATAATGCCAACATGAGATCATTAATTCATATCTATTAACAAAAACTCAATTTAAAAAAAAATATTTCGAGAAAAATTAATTATAAAACGAAATATTAATATAGAAAATAGCTGAATATCACTAATGCCATTAGTCTTGTCATAAATGTGATGATTGACTGCGTACATATGTACAATATCAAACTTATTACATACAAAACAATCTCATAGAATATTTTTTATAAAACTTTTTTTTGTCGAATATCCATCAGATGTCCTTAACACACATGCTATTTTTTTCGCTGATCAAATGAAGGAATCTATAGTTTATATCGAAGAATTATGTAAATTTAGTAGAAAAAAACAAAATAATGTAAATATATTTTCGATTGATTCTGTAACTAATACTATGTACTAGAGCGGTATTAATAGTACGATCGATATATTTTTTTCTTTCTATTAAGTTACGTTTATGTACAGTGGCAAGGTCTTATAGTTTATATAAGAATTTATCAAAATTCAATTATCTCAATTCATGACGTATGTATTCTCAAATTTCAATACAATGATTTATAGTGGTTTACACATTAAGAATTGAAGAAATGTAATAAGATATTGTAGTTCGATTTGTTGATTATTCGTATGAAGAAATTTGATAATGTAATAAAATTTATTATCAGTCAAATAGAATTTTTCTTGTCAATTCTATATTTTTAAGAAATAACTTTACAAAATTTAAGATTACATAAACTAATAAATCTTCCTTATGGTCTTTTCAACTATGAAGTATCACTTAAATACATTCTATTTATTATATAATAGATAATGAACTCTAACTCGTAAATTTTTTTCTCCGAACGAATGCAACCATGTTATTTATTAAAAAACTATCTTGATTTTATCAATCATTTCAGTCTATCATCTAAAAATAATGTTCAAAGTCTGTGTCTAAATACATACAAAGTTTGTGTACATTGTACTGGTTTCTGTAAGGTTCCTCGTGTTGATGTAATTAATGTAATAACTTGTTGATTATTCATTGGTGAATATGGCACTTGACCAAGTGTTACAATTTCCCACAAAACAATTCCAAAAGACCTAATATTTAAAGATTTTATTTTTTTTTATTTATATTCAATCTAAACTTACCAAATATCTGAATGTGAAGTAAATAATGCATCAAGTAATGATTCTGGTGCCATCCATCGTACTGGTAAAAGTGCTTCACCACTTTTTCTATAATAATCTTGTTGAGTTAACATTCTTGCTAAACCAAAATCTCCGATTTTAACAATTATTTTCTCATCTGTTGTTCCCAATGATGATACAAGACAATTTCGTGCGGCTAAATCTCTATAATACAAAAAAAAACAGGAAGAATTTTATATTAAAACGAAAAAAACATAATTACAAACCTATGAACATATGAATATTGTTCAAGATAACAAGCACCATCCGCTATTTGTTTTGCAATATCAAGACAATCTTCATAGGATAATTGACATTGATTATTATTATCTTTTGTTGGTCTTGAACGTCTTAAATAATTTTGTAAATCACCTTGTTCCATTAATTCAAGAACGAGAAATTGTGGTTGATAATCATCAAGAAAACAAACACCTAATAAATGTATAATATGTTTATGATTGAATTGATTCATAATTATAGCTTCTTTAAGAAAATCAACACGTTGTGATGATGATGCTGTGCTTAATAATGTCTTTGAAAAAACAAATTATTTATTTCTAAGAAAAAGATTTAAAAAAAAGATTTTACTTTTATAGCAACTAATTGGTTATTCATCATTGTACCAGCATAAACTTCACCTAGAAATGAAAAATCAATGTTTTAAGATAATTTTTAATGAAAAAAAATAACAAACCAAATGCTCCTTTGCCAATTAAACGATCAAGTTTAATTAAAGCTCGTTCGATTTTAGGTAATTTATTTAAATCAACATTCGTTGGTGTATGACTAAAATATATTAGAAATATAAATATAAGAATTTTATAGGAATGATTAACTTACTTCCATGTATACAGTATATTATCTTTTAATTTATTAGGATATGTTAATGATCTTAAATGTTCTAATTCTTTATCAGACATATCGCCATTTTGATAATATTTTTGTTTTAATTTGCCATAGAGCTTTTTATTTCGTACTAAAATAAAAGAAAAGAATAAACTAAAATAGTTTTTTTTTATATTAAACTTACAATAACATCCAAAAAATAGAAAACCAAAAAGAATAAGAAGTAAAATTGAAATTAAAATTGTAAAAATAACAATTTGATTATTTGAATATGTATGATGAATAGCTAAAATAAGATGAATAGCGGTTTTTTTTAAATAAATCAATTTAATATGAATATACTAACGGTCAATATTGATCGTAATTTCAGTATAATTATTTTCTTGTCGTCCATATCTATTACCGACATAAAGTCGATAAGTTAAATTACTTTTTTCGATAAATTTTGATATTAATTGATAGAATGTCTGATTTCCTCGATAGACCAATGTCCAATTATGATTTGATCTAAACAAAGAACTAATCGATTGAATATTCTTTTGTATAAGAAAGAATGTTAGATTTAATTCTGTCTACGATGAAGGATAAGACATTAGAGGTGATGATAAGTACCACTCGGCTTCTATTCTATGCATTATGACATATTATGATCGGAACTTATTTGGCATTAGAGAATATACATTGACAATACATCAAGCCTCATTATTGGTAACAAATGTAATTCCATCATATTTCACATTCCAATATCACTAACGGTTGTTTATATCCATCATATTGATGGACTTTCTGTATCCATACTAGCGCATTTATTTCTTTTTTAATTACATATACACATTATTTCCTGTCATAGAATCAAACTTACACACAAAAACTATTTCTATAGGCACTCTTGAGTTTTCCCCACGCTAAGGTCAACAATCCCCTTAAAGTACAGTCATTCTTCTATTGAAATTAATTATTACAAAACGGAAATAACTAATTCGAAACTTCTATATATATATAGGAATCAATTGAGCTACACAAAAATAGATTTTTCTATTCTTAGAAATTTAATTTACTTTGTAAATAATTCATAATAATAATCAGGACCAAGATACGACATATTAGTTGATGGATTTGCCCATGATAATGTTCTATTTTGATTAAAAAATGTTAAAATAACTGGTAGATCATCTGGTAATCCACTTGTTGTTTGAAATGGAAAAACTCGAGTACGATCATAAAAAACATAGGATGATGATGATGTTGTTATTGGACATGTAGCACGTATTGATAATAAATAATTTTCTTCAGGTTGAAGTTTATCAAATAAAATTGAACATTGCCCATTTGTTATATCAAGTAAAGAATTTTCTTTTTTATTTATATCACATTGACCACGAGATATAATTTTCTATATTATGAAAAAGAAAGAATAACATAAAATGATAAATAAGTAAATAATTATATTTACTAAATTATTATAAACAATTGCTTTGACCTCAATATAAGATAAACATAAATGATGTATAACTGCACGTATTGATCGTGTAGATATTGGTAGAAAATCTACAAGTATTTGTTGAGGATATTTGACAATAACAGGATAATCAACTATTGATTGCCTTTGATCATTGGAAAAGAATAATTGAATCGTACTTGTATATTCAATAAAACTCGTATTTTCATTTGGTAATTCAAGAGAAAATACAATTGTTTTTGCTGTTATTCGACCAATACGAGAAATAATATTATTATCTAATGGTTTGACAATATGATAGGATTCATATTGTTTTTCTATGATAATATAATTAGAACAAAAAATGTCTTTTCTTCCGAAACACTTACGATTGATAGTATATGAAAGAGATATATTTCCCAGAATAGTTGCTCGACGTGTTTGAGATGGTAATGTCACAATATAAAGATGTGTATGTGGAAGAATAAATGATTCAATTTGTTCAACTACTAAAAGATCTTCATTTGTTATAATGACAGCTAAAATACAAAAAATATGATTTATTTATTTTGTCAGATAAGTTTTTACTATTTCGATCTGATGATTGAAGTGTTTGAAAAATATGTGTTGGTAAAAGACGAGAATTTTTTTCATCAGATATTTTGATTATTATTGAATAGTTTTCATTAGGAAATAATTGATCGAAATGAACTGTATTTGTTTGAATATTCTAAAAGGAAATATAATTGGAAACATTGATGTTTTTCTTCTCCTCAACGTTTTATCTACTTCAATTTTTTCTTCAAGTTTATTTGTATGAATGTTTGTTATTACAGCTTCGATATGTATTGATGTACATGGTAAATTAGAAAATAGATTTTTAAATTGAACATTTATTGAGTACGATGTTAATTGTACACGTTCTAATTGACCGAATCCTGGTCGATTAATACTACATAACGATGATGATGAAATACGATTATCTAAATGCATCATTAGGTTTCTTTTTTTTTCTCTCTTTTCAAGTTATTATTTAATGATTACTTGTATGAACAAATTGTTCGTCACTATGGACAACTTTGATGATGATGAAAATAACTAAAATAAATTTGAAAATCGTTATTTTTAAGAATGCATTTTTTTATTTAGAAACTTACTGAAAAATACAAAACTACGAGTCAGCATGTGTAATGTTGATTGCCTAAAACAAAAAATCATTCAATTTTCAATTAGCTTGTCGTTCGTGACACTCACTCCATTCTCTTCTTCTGCTCTCTTCTTACTATCGCTCTTTTGTACGGTACCACATTCATTCATTTAATCGAGTGAGTGAAAGAGCTTCACTTCACCACTTATAGTGATTATGAAACAATAACGACATGATCGAATATATAGCACATATACTAAACAGACGCCACGTTCTCTATTTTCTTTCTTCTTCTCTTTTCTCTCGTCATTGTCGAGTGGAAATATGTAAAGAACCGTAAAATATATATATATATCTATACACACCTAAAATATGTAGTATCATTATCACCTCGATTTCTTCTCGATATTACTGTATTGCTTTTCTTCTTCTTCTTTTTATATAGTTATGAAGATAATCAGTTGCATATTGAGTATTATGCTAGTACTATACTAATGTTGTTGTGCGTGTGTGTGTATGTTTATCGACTTAGCACTACTTTTTCTACCAATACGTCATTAACGCCGTTTTCAAGTACGACCAGCGACTGTTATTATTGTTTTTTTCCCCTTCTTTTACGAAGGAGATATGTATATCAATTACAGATTGTCTATATAACCACTTCATTAGAGAAAAAGAAATGTTCATCTTTAAAAATACTTTCTATAATACGAATTAATTAAAAATTAAAAACGATCGAATCAAAAAAAATGTTCTTTTTAATTAACAGCTAGTTTTTACAATTGATTGAATAGTGTAAATGAGACACTGATCGATATAGCTGATGTACAAGTATGTATGCATAGATATGTGCAATAGTAGTAGCAAAAAGCCAATTAACAGAAAGAAAAAGACACCATCTGGCAATATACCAATGATGAGAACAGGAGGATCATGTTATTATGATATATGAGCAAACAACAACTTTTTATCATTTCCAAAAGTACGAAGATCAAGTGGAGAAAAGAGAGAAGAACGTCAAGTCATTATCAACAATAAAAGGATCAGAAAAGCATCGTATAGTCTAGAAAATAGAAGTAATTCGAGATATCAAACTAGTCGATTGAACACATGTGTTTGCTTGTCCATTGGACGACGTCTCACGTATTATACAATATCTACATACCATAAATGAAGAGTGACATGTACAATAGTAGTTATGACGGGTTTTACTAATCGACTCTGACAAGTACCAATAGTAGTAATACTCTATCCATCCATCATTTGATACATTGACTGTTCATTATAAGCTTTTCTTTCTCTCTATTTCTTTTTATGACGTGTCTATGTGTAAACAAGCAATGATGATCTGTATCTGTCTTTTTCCTTTTGTAGAAGTTATAGCAGCATTAGTAGGAAGAAGCTCAACCTTGGTACATATACAAAGCCAAGAGTAACAGTGCCCAGTGGCACACATCCATATTGATACAATCCTCATGTGTGACATTTTGTCAATTACAACATACTTTACAGCTTAGAACATAGATATATCCAACTAAGGCAATGAGACATAGCGTTTCTAGGATCTTTTTTTTTTATAATGAACATTCTTTAATAAATCAAAGGAAACTAATTAAATATATATCTAGAGCACATCATATCTAAACAGATTTGAGTCTTATTCTCTTCATTCAAGCAATAAAATTGACACGATTACCTTGAACGATGTCGATTGCTTATCGTAACGATACTACTATTAGCCAAATAACGACACGGGTGTCAACATGCAATGGAAAACCAAAGTGTCAATGAATAGTGAGATACGATAGGACACAATTGTGAAAGAGAGAAAATGATATAAAGACAAAACTCCGCCCGTTCGGAAAAGAAATAACTAAATCGATGTTTCCACAAGAGAGAGAGAGACACAGAGCAGTTGCACTCTATCAACATCAACAAGAAAGAAATATAACAACTGCTGTTCTCTCTCTTTCTCCTTCTTCTTCTTCTTCGTTTGCAGTATCTTCTAACTAACTAACTAACTAACTAACAAACTACCAGCATATGCGCGTATATCAAAATGAGACGAAAGATTGATCACTTTGAATACTCAGCATGATGTCTACAACTGATGATCATTATAAATCTAAGTTAGAAATCAAAACAAGAACAACAGTGATCGAAAATTATTTCCCATCAAATATATTTATCAAGAGAATAAAAACAATTTACTGTTTATAAAGAATTATAATGATGTATCAACATATTGAACATACTGATGATTTATCTAAAATTAGTGATGTTTTCTATCATTTAGAATGATAGAGAGAGAGAGAGAAATAGAAGTCGAAAATTTGTTTATTTTCGAATGTCAATCTTCATTGCTATTGTTTGTCGACAATTAAAACAATTTTCTATAAATATTCCTTAATATTGATTTAAATATAGAAAAGTAATCAAACAATATGTTGACTTATTCCCTAAAGAATAAATTGATAAAAAGCAAACATTGCAATATATAAAACTAGCTTTTATTTATCCTTGACTCATCGTACAATATAATCAGCTTACTGGCTAGCCAATCTTTATTTTGATTTTTTTTCTGTATAACAGGTGATCCGCTTTCAGTTTTATCTTTTTTCTTTTCTATAAATAATATTGATTGTTCACATCGATGTAATGTTTAAGATATGATACATGATATTTTTTTTATTTGATCTCTATCTATGAAAAATATCTCGATAAAGTAGCTATATATGTTAAAGAATATTATACGATGTATTTTTGATGAAGTTTCTCTGATGAGATGTTAATAATTACATTGACACATTCTACAAAGAGTTAAGTACACTATGTGACTTCGAAGAGAATCTATAATCTACATTTTTTGTTATTCATTTTGAATATATTTCATGGATCATTCTTATATTGAGTTATTTTCTGATTTTATAAAACCTTGGAAATTTATTTTTTGCTAAAAATGAGATCGATCACAGAAACAAAATTATATGACAAAGAGAAATATTTTAATCAGGATCAAAAAGTCGTTGTGCAACATCATTAACAAGCCAATCAATTCCTTCTAAAAGATTTTGACCAGTTAATGCTGAACATGGCATAACAGTCCAATGATGTTTATGTATAGAATCAAGTTCTAATAATGTACGAATTTCTTGTAATGAACATGCACCAGTTATATCTTGTTTATTAGCAAATACAAGAAGAGATGAACCCATTAAACGTTCTTCTTTAAGTAATTCTTGAAGTTCAGCACGACATTCACCTAATCGCATTTTATCAACACTATCAACAACCCAAATAATTGCTTCGGTTGCTTCGAAATAATTGCGCCAATATGATCGAAGCGATTTTTGACCGCCTACAAATGAGAATAAAAGTGTTAATACTTATGTACAAGGATATGTAGATAATGTATAAAATACAAAAATACAGACAAGGATAATCCCTATATTTATTCTCATATAATTATACAACCTAATATCACTTAATGTTTATTAAATCTTATGTAATATTTGAGCGAAAATTTTAGTAATATTAAATTAATTACTAATGAATTCGGATGACTTCCTGTTTCGTTGAAAAAAATAAATCAGAACCAAAGGAAATATGATCAGAATCAATCTAATTACCTGAAATAAACTAGCTTTTTTATTTCTAGAGCAATTTACTAACAAGATATTTTGTTGACAATATGTTTCTTGTCATTGAAATATATATAAACATACGGTTGATAGTGGAATATGATTATATATGTAAATATTCTATTTGCTAACTTCTATTACAGATGGATTTCATACATGATGTTTCATAATAGAAAATGGATACGAGTTAGAATTGAAAGCGATACTAATCTATCTTATTTATTTATTTTTATGTATATGTAAAATCATTAATGACACTAAGTTATTTAAAACTCCAATTAATCTCTAGATCAATGTCGGATTGTCACTATTGCCTATAAGATACAACGAGATAATGACATATTATCATTAATTGGAAGAATAGATTCGAATTTGAATAGTTATCAAGTACTTTTTCGAGATGCTTTTCCTTCATACATAATTGCGTATAACAATTTATATTCGAATCTGTTTCCCTCGGTAATGGTAACATTAAATAAAATGTCATTGTCACATTGTATCTTATAAGTAATATGTCAGAATCCGACATTGATTTAGAAACTACTTGGAATTTTAAATGAAAACTACTTGGATGAATCAATTGTTATATAGGCTAACTCAAGATTGAATAGAATCTTAATTTGAACCCTGAAGTATATATATGTCTCATCAATGATTCGATCAATTCATCTAGAAAAAATAAGAAAACTCTCTCTCTACCTACCCACGTCCCAAACATTAAGTACATAATCAGCATAATTAAATGTTTTTATGTTAAATCCAAGTGTTGGTGCAACGGAATCAATTTCTTCACCATTAATTCTCGATAAAATAGTCGATTTTCCTGCATTATCAAGTCCAACAAGTAATAGACGCATTTCTTTTTCTTTTCGACGTAATTTTTTCAATATGCTCAATAGCACCATTTTTCTCTATATATAATGAATGCAATTGATCTACAGTCATAATACGCATGCATAATTAATGAAGAAGAAAAAAAAGATAAAAGAAATTATTATTTGTTTTTACCAAAGAAAAAAAAAAAAGGAAAGATCCTGACAAACGAACAAATAAAAGTTTAATTGAAAAAAAAAAGAAGCGAAAAAGAGAGATCGAATTGCTGCCAATATTTTATGGAAGGAAGATAGAAGCCATTAATATCTATAGTAATAGAAAAACAAAACACATAGAATCAACATTTTCTTTTCTATAGTAATGATCAAACCTGTAGTAATTTGGTTTAAACGGACCAGCTTTATTAATACCAAGATACTTGCATTGTTCATCACTTAATTCTGTTAAATGAGCATCGAATGCCGGTAAATGAAGACTAGCAACATATTCATCTGCAGAAAAAAAGAAAAATAACCTTAAATGAATTTATAAATAAACTATACCCATTTTTTTTGGTAATAAATAAACATCACATTTATATCGATTTGGGGGAGCAGTATAGAGTTCGATTAATGCTAATGCCTAAAATAAAATAGTAATTGATTTAAATAATAAATTATTCTTGTATTATCATACTTGTGTACAAGCTGTAATTGAAACAACAAATGATGGTACACTTGAACAACATAAATTCATAATTCGTCCCTATATTTTAAATAAAAATATTTAGTTTCTAATTCTATTTAAAAAAACATTAGCTCTACTTCAGCAATTAAGACAATTCGTTTTCCACTACTCCAAATAACATGATCCACATTTGTTCTAACACGTTCAACTTGTAAATCACTCGAGGCTGAATCACGTAAAAAGCTCTATTGAATTAGAAAAAATAATAAGTATTTAGAAAAAAAATAGCAAATTATTTAAATACATACAACATCAATTTCTGTATTTGAATGTCCCATATTACAAACGATGGCACCATTTTTAAGTTTATCTAATGATTCTCTTGTTATTGTATTTTTACTTCCGGATGCTGTAACAAGAATGTCAACTTGTTTGATAACTTCTTCAAGACGAACAACTTTATATCCTTCCATACTAATAAAATATTATTTTTAAACAAAAATATTCAATTTTATTTTCAAAATTTTACCATGCTTGTAAAGCACATATTGGATCAATTTCAGTTACATAAACAAAACAACCCATACCACGTAATGCTGAACAACATCCTTTACCAACTTCGCCTAAAATAAATAAATAAGCAAACATTGTTTACTAATTATACAGTAAATATAATAGAACAGATATAAAGAGTATTTGACAGAAAAATGCTGATTGATTTTCCATAGATTACAGACAGAAAACATTGGATATAATCAGAAGTGCAGAATCTTCACAAAAAGCCAAAATTTCCCTCCCCACGCGGGGGCGCACGTGGAAGATTCTGCGCCTCTGGACATAATACAAAAATAGATATAGACTGAAAGTGCGTATAAGGTCAGTTGCTATACTCATCTACTAAAAATATATAAAATAAATCTGAATTAGCCATGATTTATATCTATTACTCGATGACGTACATCTGTTCTCTAATTATTTATTGGCCCAAACAAATAGGAAAAGTTTTTATTATTTTTTTGTCTATTTCTATAAGAAACTTATCTGTCGGAAAGAAAAACTCTCTTTTGTATAATATTAATATTAATAAAACAAATAAACAAACCATATCCACAAACGACGACTTGTTTTCCTCCAAACATAATATCGGTACATCGTTTAATAGCATCAATAATCGATTCTCGACATAAATATAAATTGTCAAATTTTGTTTTTGTAACACTATCATTAACATTCATAGCTGGTACAGTTAATGTTTGTGTACGACACATTTGATATAAACGATGAACACCAGTAACAGATTCTTCAACAATACCTTTTATTGTTGAAAATAATGTTGAATAATGTTTATGACAATAATGTGTTAAATCACCGCCATCATCTAATATCATATTTGGTTGCCAACCTTGATCGCCACCAATCGCTTTTTTAATACACCACCAAAAGTCATCATCTGTTTCACCTTTCCATGCAAATATTGGAATAGATTCTTCTGCAAGAGCAGCAGCGACTTCATTCTATTTATAGAATACCGGTAAAATATATTTAAGTAATTATATAATTTTACCTGAGTGGAAAATATATTACAAGCACACCATCGTACTTGAGCTCCTAAACGGACCAATGTTTCGATTAAAACCTGTAAATATATATATATTTATATTACATAGAAATTATTTCAAAACAAATGTAATCTTACAGCTGTTTGAGCTGTTATATGAGTACAACCAACAAGTTTAGCTCCTTGTAATGGTTTATCACTTTCAGCTCGACGACGTAAAGCCATAAGACCAGGCATTTCTATAAGATAAACAATAAACATCTTAAATATTTTTTCATTGTTTTAAATTGTAAATTCTCCAGAGATTTTCTTACAATCTTAATCAAAAATAAAAATCTCTTATTCTATCGATTAGATTTCACAAGGGAAAAATATTCTTTTTCAAATACTCTTAGTCTATAATTAGTTAATATTTATCGAACAATCATTGTCGGCAATTCTATTGTATTTAGAAAATGAAAGAATGATTGCTTTTCATCTATATAACAAAATCATAGTATGTTTTTCTCTGGATAAAGAATAAAAAAGTCATTTTTCCGTATGATAATTATAACGTTCACATGTTTTAATAAATAATAAAAGGGTATTGAAGTAAGAAATCTGAGAAAGAGACACTTCCTTTCTTGTTATTCGAATAATTTTATCAACAAACCTTGTTCGGCAATTTGAATTTCACGTCGACCATATTCCGCATGTTTTATACGTCGAACAGCAAAATCATTGAAGCCATTCTTATTTTTCTATAAAGATTTAAGAAAAATAAATGAAACAATTTATTTCATTAAATAATTGAAACTGACATGTTGCATTTCTCGTATATTCGGGCCGACTCCATCTTCAGCATCGCTATCAGTATCACTGGCAGTTGCTGAAAAGAAAAGAAAGAAAAATTATCATATAAACTTATACAACTTTTGTCTGTGTGCTCTTGACTGGAAATAATAAAAACAGCTTTTATTTCTTTTTTTGTTCTCATTGAAAAAAAATTCTGTTTTCTATAAATTCTCACAATCTTGCTTTTGTTGATCGGTATCAGGAGCTTCATTTTCATCATGTGAATCAATTGATTGTAAACGTGTTAGTTGTTGATTCTGTTGTTGTTGTTGTTGTTGTTTTTCTTGACCAGATGAACGTCTTCGTATAAGACTTTTATCAATAAATTGTACGGATGGACGACGATTACGTCGAACTTCAGCTTTTACATGATCTACTACGGCTTCGGCATCAGCGTTATGTTCCTTAGTTGACATTCGTTTAGTCAAGAATATTATACGAAGTAAACGAGGAAATTTTTTTTGGTGAGCAGACTAATATGACAATAACAGCACTATATAAGTACACGCATACAACACACAACGATCGAACGAAGGAAATGAAGAGAACGGCGATGATGAAAGGAGGTGTTTATGTTGTATGTATGTCGTTTTTTTTGCATCTAGTAAGAAGAAGAGGACGAGGAACAACAACATATATAGAAGTATAACTCCTTCATGCATCTTTGCCTTAGCCTCTTTTCTATTCCCTCGAGTTCTTTTCCTATTCTTTTTTTTTCCTTTCTCTATGATAGACTTAAAGGCATGAGGAAGACCAGGACAAAAAATAAAGAGAAAACAAGCCATTACAACTCACAAAAGTCGTCTGATTTATTTTCAGCAACACGAGAATCATTATCTTCGACTGGCAACGACGTCGATTGATTTGATAGTGATTGAATAAGTTTTATATCAAGAATCTGAACTGATGAACGTCGACGTGCACGATGCCGATCTTCAGTTACATACACTGGAGTATTGCTAGTCATCAATGGTGGTATTCTATCACTTTGTTCATGTATATCAGGCGATGATTGATTTCTATTAATAGAAGTTCGATGTAATTCTTCTGTTAATTCAATATCGGAATTTTGTGAACGTTGTCGTTCAGTTTTAAATTGATTTGAAAGTATACGTTTTAACGGCATATATATATGTAAATGAAATTTTGATGTTAACGTTAACAGTAAAAAAAAAAGTCAAAGAAATCATGTACACTATTTGCAATGGCAAATAATTTTTTTTTATAAGATACACAACAATACAAATAAAACTCTTTTTCGTTCTCTCTTTATAAGAACACTTCTTTCACACTATCAGTAATCAATGAATGAAGTAAACAGCAATTCTGATTTTCTTTTTCTAATACGCAATTTACATTTATGTCTTCCGTAGTATTCATTCCATTCAATGTAACTACATGTATATATATATGTTCTATAAACAATTTTTTGTTACGTTGTCGTCAACGCAGACACAGACAAGCAACAGCGTAAGTATTTTTTTTCAAATATCACTGTAATAAAAAGTGATATTTGGTAATAGTGATCAGATCCAAAATTTTTGATTGTTTGGTTAGGTTTTTTTTCATACTTACAGACTAATTCTGGAGTTAAGATTGGTTGTTCAACATTTGAAAAACGTCTTTCAATTATATTAGTATTCGCACGTGATCGATAGTTATATGCTGTAGCTGCTTCAACCGTTAATTGATGCTGTTGTACTTGTTTTTTTAATGGATGATATGTTGTTACATCATTATGATCAACATCAACTAATGAAGTCGAATAAATGCCTGGTTCGAGTTTTGGTAAAACGTTTTTATCCATGAAAACTTATTTAACAATCAAATATAAAACCATATACTAATAGTAATAATACTCTGATCGTAAATAACACTCATCACACAAACATTGGAATGAATGACATTCAACAATAGCAATGTGCATTACTTCAATGCACTTCTCTCATTTTTTCTTTTTATCTTTTATCATTCCAACCAAATAATCCAATGCTTACAATGGCCTGACTTTTCTTGCTCTTTTCTCTTTCAACTATGTGTATACAAAAAAAAACGGCACGGAGGGGGGGGGGATTATGATGATATATGATGCATTCAATAATACGTAAAAAAATGCTACCGAGAATTTCTTAATACATTTACAAAATGCCATCTGTTATTTTTTTTTCTTATTGTACACTTACTGCCTTCTGACAAAACGGAACTTTGTGAATATGAATATTGTCGTCGTGTTGTTGGATCAAGACATATACGATGCTAGAAATACAGAAAACAAATTTATTTTAAGTTTAATATATAAAAAGGTAAATTTTCGATGATTAAAAAAAGAAAATTAATTCCTATAACCTTATAAAATCAAATATACATAATACACTCTTCGAACCTTATCTTTCCTAGAAAAGAAAAAAACAAAGTTGACTTAGACTATTACGTCATACATTTAAAAAAGTACATTTATATGCTTTTGACGTGTAAAAATTATTCATCAGTAAAACTTTGCACTTTTAAGTTAATAATATTTAAATTAATTGATGCGTCCAACAATGTTTTGAAGGTAAATTTCATTTATCAATAACGAATATCGAAATAGGTATACATGTTTTCATCGTATACTTGACTCATTAATATATCATTATGTCAGTATAAAGACATGATTTTCCTAGCTCTAGTTTTTCACATGAATATAACGACTATCTCGGAAATAATTTATAGGAAAATATTGTAAATTATTATAATGTTTGCAATATTAATGAGCATCAATCATCAAATCTAAACATACACATGAGCTTAACTAGTTTATTTCTTTTTCTTAAAATAAAAGTGCCCTGAATTACATTAGTTTAACAATCAGATTTTATATTAGCTGAGAAATATTATCGAATTATCTTTATTCACGTTAAATATCTTAACAAAACAGAACAATATACATATTATCAAGGTCTTTCTTTAATATTATTAAATAATTTTCTTTCTTTTTTTTGTTATACACAAAAAAACTAATCAATTAGACTACAACTATGAAAAAAACACAAAAAAAACCTTTTTATTCTTCCTTAAAAATGACATCTATTCTGATCTTATTTTATATAATATAATTATCTCAGTTATTTCATTCTATCACAGCAAGGAAGAAAAAGAAATTTTATATGAGTAACACATATTGATTGTGTCTATGCGTTAATATCTCGTTTTCCGGTTATTTTCATCGTCGAACGTCAAATATATGAATCAATATGCGTCACAATTTGTAACAATTGCAAAATAACATATGACACTTGCATGAATGCATGTGTTCGAGTTCTTTCTTTCTCCCTCTCTCTCTTTCTTTCTTCACATTCGATTACATTACGCTCTACTAAAAGTATTAAAATGATTGGATGGATATAGAAAAAAAAATAATAAATTGTTAAAGAAGAAACTAATGTCTGAGAATAAAATAAGAAAAAAGTGCATTTGAATAGAAAAACTCAATAATAATTACTGAAATAAACTGTATGAAAAGAAAATAATGCGTAGAAAAAGGAACCTCGAAGTTGTTATACGAATATAATCATGATTGTCAAAAAACAAGAAGAAGTATTATAGGAAGAAAGTTTCTTTGTTCGTGTTCATCCTTACGCACGCCTGCATACTCATCAAAAAGGAAAAAAAAGCCTACGAAATAACTAAAAAAAACATTATAATCGTCGTTATTAGAAAAACATACTGCGTTATAAAAGAATAAGGTATGAGGATTATGTGGAATTAAAAAGATCTTTTATATTTACACCCACCGGTTGTAGACCATTTTCACTATTCGCAGTTGTTGTATTTACTGTTAAATCGTTTTCTGATGTTTCAGATTGCATTGGATTTGGTGCATCACGTCCATCGAGACTTAAAACTGGTAGAGTACCATGAGATTTGTTTTGTGGAAGAGGAGCTATTTGTGAAACACTTGGAACATTATAAAGCATTTTTGTTTCACTGGATGTATTGATTGGTGATGGTGCATTCTTAGTTGGTTTTCGTTTGCTCTTACTTGATTTTTTAAATCCAAACATTGTATA